GCTTCAATCGAAAATTGATTTCCTAGCTCACACATGTAAGCTCTTTGAATCAGATTGCTACCTCGCCCTTCTACTTTTTCAAGCTTTCACAAGTTTGATGTTTGAGAAAACTGACTGCTTAAAACTTTTATTTTCTTCTGATTTGATTGGGCTCTTGATTGAATGCTCCGTTGAGATTGCTCAATTGTCACCGCAATAATCATTTGATCAATCCACATCACTGCATCCACCACCTCCGGCGGTCTTGATGTCGAGAAGGGTAGAATGGTTGGAGTTTGGTGAGAGAAAGGCTGAGAAAGGTCTTTTCCAAAAAATCTTCTTCCGCTCATTAAAAACATCAGCAGCCCTCAGCAGCCCTAAGTAGCCTAAGCTATTTGGAAGCCTGTTCAGCTCCAAACTCATCACGATTTGATTCTCACACTATTCCTTGTGAGTTTTGATTAATTTTAAACATACAACAAGTCATTGACATTTCTGTCCATACGGTGGGACCAAGTGCTCAACAACGAACTTACAAATCAAGTGTTCAATTGCCACCATCTCGAAAACCTTGGTTTCAAGAGCTCAGTTTAAAGTGTTAGAAGATGGAGTCAATTTGCTCGCCATCAATCACCAGACAAGGAATTAAATCAAAAAATGAAGAATTAAATAAGATTAGATCATTTAAAGTCTTAAAAAACAAGGGAGAATCAACCATTGGAAAAAGTATATGGTCATTACCACCAAAAGATTCATGAAGCATTTTGATGTTTGTCAGTTCTTGTGATTTTTACTTCTTTATCAATATCATTTGCTCACAATTTGGGAACTCTAGCTCCAGGATTCATAATGGAAAAACTTGTCATTGTATAAGTTCTCAAAAACTGATGGGGCATATTTGCTTTCAAATTTATTTGTAATAAGGTCTCCAGGGATACATTGCAGCTCCACACTCAGCCCCTTTGTCAAGCAAGTCATACATTTAATGAAGGGTCAAGCTCTTCAATGAGAAATGTGAGCTGATGAAGTCAAAACCTTTGAGGATCATATAGTGATTGAGCCAAGGCTTTTGGTGCAAGTCATGATGATATTTCCATAGCATTAGATGACCTTCAATTTCATCATTGTGTCGAACTCAGCAAGTTTGATTCAAATCAAACGATTTTTGCTTCATTCCTCCTGATGGAGAATTTGAGTTGATGGGGTAAGACAAGCGTCCCCTTTTAATATTTGCTTAACCAATACTGAACCAATATTTCATGACTCTTTGGTGGATTGATAGATATTGATCTACTACTAATGTACAATTAACATTTAGAGTCAAGGATCAATGAGTTTGTGGTTGTATATATAGTTCCCCTTGAGACTTGATCACCTGATGACTGATCAAATCTGAATGAAGATTGTCATGACTGATCAATTCTTGATTGAAATGGTCAGACTTGATGTTTGTAATAGATTAGAATCAAGTGACTGGGAAAATATACAAGTCAGAAACCCCTGGCTGGGGTCTGTTCTGATTGTATTCAATTCATGGACTTCCTTTGAAGAGGCAAATTACAATTATATTCAGAGGCCCATATGGTTATGCAGTTGCATTATTCACACAACCATGATTAGAGTAAGACCACAAAAAGGCAGTTGAACAGATAAACATGAAAAGAAAGAAAAATGCCAATGAGGTAGGATAAAGGTGTACAGCTACAAGAAAGGAAATACAATTACATAACAAAACATCAAAAAAGTAAGTTTGGGTTTTCATGAATCATAACTATATATAAAGTTGTTTTTACTTGATTTGATTTTTTGACTTGGTTCAATTCTTTGACTTGATTTTGGTTAATTAAACTTATTGGTTTACGTAGTTTTTCAATTGATTAGATTTAATGAAGGATTTTTAGGTGATGGTGATGGATCAAGTGGATGAACTTGAACTTGAGTTCATGTGTTGATCAAAAGGGTTGGATTATACATAGTAGAATGAAATAAAGGAAATATATTTATGTAAAACAAAGGGAGTCAGAAGGTCTGAGGAATATCTTGAGGCTCAATCCCTTCTGATCAGTCAATCATGAATCTCTTAATCTTTGCTGACTCCTGAGTGGCACACTCAGTAGTGGAACCAACTCAAAGTACGGTTGAAAAAAGTCGGAGCAAATCAAGACATTCTACCCCTCTTGATGTCAAGAACGGAGGTGGTGGATGCAGTGCATATTCATCCACATATACACTTCTCATTGTATCTATCAGCATGGAATTTCAACAAAAGGCAATCATAATACTACAAAGACCTTTTTTTGGTCCAGGGGATATTGAATAAAATGAACAACAACTGTTTCTTCCTGGAGCTCATTGATTCCAAGTTGTGAAATCCAAAGGTCTGTTCTGTTCTGTTCTGTTTGGATTTTACCGTGGCTTCTGAAAGTCTTACTTACTTGAAAAAATGACTTCTCACCATGCCCTTTCTTTTATTCATTAATCTGATGGTCATTATTCTGGAAATCACAGCACTCCAGACCAATTTTCATTGTTCCATCTTGAACCTTAATCTCTGTTTTTCAGACCATGAACTTCAAGATTTTCACAGAAGGAAAAGACAAGACTATATTTACCAAAATCAATGTGTCTTTCATTGTCATTATATTCAAATCACAACCCTTCATTGGTCTTCAATACATAGATTGGTTAGTCTATTTGCTAAATTGTCTCAAGCATTCAAATGAAATGAAAAAAGAATTTGCAAAACAAAAACTTATGGTTAAGTCAAATCAAACAAAATTATCAAAGGCATAAACAAAGCAGTAGCTATATGTTTTGATCTATGAGGATGGAATCATGATTCTCATATAGAATAGATAAAAAACCCTCTGTTTGTAATTTTGAAGTCCATGTTTTTAGTTCTGTGTGTATGAGTGAACAAGATTGATGTACATCTTTGAGCTCATTCAGCAGATTTCCATTCTGGGTGAATTCTTTGTAGTTCAAATGAATCCAAGGTATGATACACAATCAATCTGATATGAACAAATTGATCAACAAATATAGTACCATTGGACTATTTATTCAAGTTTGGATTCCAATGATTTATTATTAAACAAATCGTAGAAGAATGTGATTTGAAAATGATTTTCCATTATAAACAGAGATAGCAGGCACTCTATGACAAGCAATGCTGTTACACCACAAGAATTAATTAGTTCAAAACCCTGTTGAACCAAATTTTGCTGTCTGGGTTAGAAATTTTCTCCAATCAAGAATGTTTATTGCAATACATTTGCAATACATTGGCCAATTTCCCTCAAGCGGTACCCTGTTGGCCCCATGTATACAGCTTCATCATACAACAACAATCCCAATGATAACCAATCAACCATCTTTCCTTTGGCATGCATCCTCAGATCCTCTATACATTGGTCAATCTGTGGTGAATGATGTTGAAAGGAGTTGCTGTTGGATGATGTATCTGTACATACACGGAGCTAGCAGAGTACCGCTCCAGGTAAATTGGCAAACATATTGCACACAAGTTGTGAACAAAATTCACAATTTGAAGAAATTTTGAACCTGGACAAGGACATTTGGCACAATTGGGTTTTGAACTAATTAATTCTTGTGGTGTTACCAATAAAGGTTTGAAACTCATCATGTTGAAGAAATGTTGTAAGCTGAAGATTTCTAATATTGAAATTCACATATGTGGTTCCCTCAAGTCTTTTCCTCATCTCTATGTGATATAATCTTTCTCATACTTTGGATTCATTTTAGCACTTTTTTTCAAAATCCATAGTGAAAGAACTGCACATGTCAATAGAGGTTTAGCTTTTTTGCTTGAGTAATCTTATAACTAGCGTAGCCTATGGCAGCATGTGCAGATTGATCTAAGATGAGACCTTTGTATGAGTGCAGTGCCCGCCGCTCAATTTGACTAGTATCTTTAAAGACCCATCAATGTTAATATAAACTGTTCTCCTTTTCTGACAGGTTGACTTACAACCAATTTATTCAAAAAAAAGGAACATATTCAAAAAGAAGATTCAAATTTATCATCTGATTTCAAAACTGATGTATTACTAGTTAAACTACTTGGTAGGTGAAACTTTATTAAAACGTTTCTTCCTAGTTTCCATGCCTATCCATCACGTCATTGTACCCATTGTTCTTCCATGAACAAGGCTATTGCTTTGTTGTACCTTTCTTTATCTATTGTGTATAATGGAAAGAAATCGACTACAATCATCCATTAGTAAACGAGGTATTATAAATAAACACTAACGATCGCCCGTTTGTAAACGAGTTGTTATAAATTAACACTAATTATCTTCCCTTCAAAAACGAGGTGTTAGTATTCAGAACACTCTTCCCGTAAAGATACAAGGTGTTAAACACAATCAACTTTTCTGATCCGTCAAGTAGAAGAGGTACAATGATTACAACTCTTTCCGTAAATATATAAAGGGGTAAACACTATTGGTTTTTCTATTCCATCAATTGATGAGGTATAATAATTGATAAACAATCATTTATGTACCGTTTCTTAAATTTCTATTAACATATACTGATAGTCACTAACATAGAGACTAACAAATGTGTCCAATCTTTATAATCTTTGCAGACAAACCTACATGATACAATGAAATAAAGAAGGCAGTATTCAATAACGATGCAGACTTTGCAGAAAAAAAATCAACAAAGCGGAATAGCATCAAACATAGTTTCAGAGATAAGACTTTCATGAAGTAGTCTTAGCTTACCCAGCCATTGTCAGCAAGCAAATCTCTTATATTCCTACATGAACAGAGATAATGACCATACCTTTCTTTACAGATTCAGTTGTTATATATGAAATTTGCTTTGGTTCAAGTCATCATGAGTAAAAGAAACTTACCAGAATGCTTGATTATCCTGATTGATGACTGGACTGTCAAATTTTTTTAAAAAAAACTCACTTAGGAAGTGATGTTTCCACCAAACAAGACTCACACCACGAGTTGGCCCTGGTCTGCCCGGGCCTGAAAAAAGCCATGGGTTTGTATTCCAGTCCTCAATTATTGGCTCATTCTAAAATTCAAATCGGCCCGTGTTCTCATCCAGTAAGTGGCTCATTCTCTATTCAACCACATCTTACTAACTATATCATCTCATCCATTCATCCCAGGTTAACACTATAGCTCTCACCAATTCACTGACCTATCTTTCACTAGGTTTAGCCAATGGTACTGTCATCCTTTATCGTCACTTGGATCAAGCTTTAGTCTCCAATGCTTCAATCCCTCATCACTCCTCTCTTACCTAAACCAAAAGTGGTGTAGGATGTTGGTCAACTTTTGGGAAAGTATTATATCTTTTTTGATTTTCTAACCGCTTTGGCATTTGCTCAGAGTCAAATGCATCTAGAAAGCAAACACACACTTTGAATCATCATGAACCTTGAATCATTCGGCTTGTTAAACGTCCCTTGTCCTGCTCTCCACTTCCCACAACCTTTTCAACACTCGACCTTTATATTTTTTTCACTCTCAATATACCTTGCAACATTTAGGAAACCTATCTCTACCTATATCTCCAACAACTCAACCACTTCAACTCAAACCATGAAATGCTAGAAGACTTAACCCGCACTCGACTCAGTCACCGCCGAAAGATATTGACTGATGCAATTCCTGCCTTACGAGAGAAGCTTGGCACAGGTTCCAACAAAGCTGTGAATTGGATTGACAATCAAATTTGAAAAGTACGTAGAGGATTGGATTCAGAAAGTGATGATTTGGGTTCACTCTGGGGTACATCATTTGAGATTTATCCAGATGAACCTTTAGGACCAGCCACTGCTTTGGCTGAAGGATATGTTCCTTTAAGTCAATTTCATTCGCAAAAACGTTTGACTGATCTTACTAATAGGAACCATACCATTCAAGCTGATCACGTTTTCAGTCTAGATCAATGTAATCTTGATGAGACACAACCGCTTATTGAATCCGAGACATCAAACATGGTCCCACCCAGCACTCCTCGTACAATCAAAGGGCCAAGGAAGCGAAGGCAGAAAACACGTATGTTCACTCTTATACTTAATATGTTTTTCCAGAGAATCTTTATACTGATCTTTTGTCTTCAACTTTTTAGTAGATCCCAAAGAACCACGTAGGTTGCTTGCACCAGTTGAGCTCTATGACAGACCATGGTCAGGTTTGATAACAGATGATTCTCAAAGCTTACTTGGCACGTCCGGTGATCCGCACAGTAAGTATGAAGATCACTCATCTAATCCAAAACTGACTTTATCTATGAGAAAAGCTTTTCAATTTCCAGCTCGTCGACCACCTAAACAGTCCAAAACTGATCTTTCAACATATACTCCTTTAACTAGACTTCAAAATTGGTACAACAAGCCTAAGGAATCAAACTTTGGTTTTGGTGCTTCAAATCAACGGGACACTGAGAAGACGTTTGGATCAACGTTTAAAAATCCTTCTTGTCATGCTACTGCACCTTCTCAATGTAAATTGAGCTTCCGAGTGCTCCTTCCACATCCTTGGGACTGTTGATATTGTTCAAATATATTTTAACAGATGCTTGACTTCAATAAGTTGCTCTCCACCTTCCAATTCACCGTTATTGGCTAAACCGTAAAATCCTATTGATTCACTCTCTTCAATTTTTATGTAGTTCACTCTTTCGTATCTTTCTGCTGATGAGCATTCTAGTTTTTGAATAATTGTATATATTTCACTATGTGCTTTTTATTTTCAGAAGTGCTTTTTCAATCTTGAAAAAACTTGATGATCCGGGTATCATTCTTTTCAATCCACTGATCGTGTTCCACAAGTCCTAAACTGATCTCTGAATCAGTACCAAGTGCTCCACTAAGATACTCATCCTGACTTACTCTTGACTGTGGCTCCTGTAAGAATTCAAGAATCAGTGGACAAGGGACCCACGTCTTTCAGGGAACTTCATCCATTTCATGCGTACTGATGATTTGATTGGTCAAATCAATCTCTACTATTCAAGTCTATTCTTTACAGTTAGTCAATTAAACAAATTGACTTGAGGGCAAAACTTTCAAACTCAATGACTATTTCTTGAGCGTACCACCTTCATCCAAAAGAGATTTCTGAAAAATTAACCTGGACTTCCTGGGTTTTCTATTCCTTACACTACTGGTTCCAATTCCTAGAATTGAATTTGTCATATAGAACTCAGCACTTTTTTTATTCATGTGAACATGTAGAAAGTTGACTATATATGTATGACTCATGAGTGACAGTGTGATTACTTTGAAGTTGATGATCAATGAGGCATTCAACTTCCAACCTTACTTCAAACCACATATCTCAATCGAAAAAAGAAACTTATCACAATACCATTTGGATCACTTGCCAACATGGCGATTGTACATTTGTATTGAATGATTTGATGCGATTGAAATGATTCACTCGCATGTCATCCAAGCGATTGAAGGGATTCACTCGGATGTCATCAAAGCGATTGGAACCTTTCATCGCTCGACTTCAATGTGATTTGAAGGATTTAATCGCTTGAGGTTTGTGTCGGTCAGTCACCTGAGCGATTTTAAGTCGCATATGTGATTAAATCACTGAGCTTGCCACGTGATTTAAAGTTGCTGAGCAACTTCATCGCTTTCACACATGCGATATAACATCGCAAGATGTGTTTCATTGCTGGATCATCAAGCGATATAAATTTGCATTTTTATTCTCGCGCCTTGGAAAAATGCAATAAATCATCGCCGGTTTCAAAGCGTTTTGTACGGGCATACGTGTATGCGAGGCAAAAATGTTGGTGGTGTTACTTCAGGACCCGAGATGAGTAGATTGATGGAAATTGGTGATTGAAACATAGATGGAGACAATGGAGAAGAAGAAGAGCAAGTCAATAGCTGATGATCTCAATAGAAATTTGGATTGAGAGACAAAAGAACAATGAGATACAGTCCAGAGCGGATGGATCAGATGGACATTGAGAACACTAAGATGGGCTGGATAACTAATTATGTGGTCAATAGAGATTGATAGAAATATAAATGTAGAATAAAACAGGAAAGAACACAAAGATGAGATGAATAACTGTTGAAGCTCTTGATAGATATTTATTGAATGTACAGTCCCCTCCAAGTGGTTTACGTAATCATTCAAGTTCTGCAGCGGCGGGGCCGGGGCCTGTCGCGAACCCGATGATTACAAATCCTAGGCGTGGGGACGTGTAGAATAAAACACAAAAGAATAAGATAAAGTCAAGAGCTGATGAGTCGGATGGATATTGAGAACACTAAGACGAGATGGATAACTATCTAATGTGGTCAACAGCCAATGAGTCAAGTTGGATTGATATTTTATTGGAGAATGAAAATTCAAACTCAATTGATTATCATTCAACACAATAATTGATTGAGACCTGTTAAATCACTAGGTTGCTATAGATTGTGATCTTTTTTGCAGCCCAAGGACTTTGGACTTCTTTGAAGTAGACACAGGTGGAAATGGATGATCCCTACTCTCAAGCAGAGAGTATATTGTTTCTTGTAAATAGTTTTTCAGTGTGAAGTAGAAATGTCTCCCAAAGGGTATATTTTGAGTAAAGATTCAATCCACAACACTCATTATCAAGATTCAGAACGGCTGAGTTTGAAGTGAAAACAAAAATCATCTCCAACACACATTTAACTGGTTTGATAACTCTGAGTCTTCATCATTGAACAATTCAAAAAAACATAATAAAACGTGACTCCTAGCAGAGCAGTAGCAAAAAATTGTGCAGGTCCATCTCATAGTGTCCCTGCCAGCTCTACTCACATATATACTTCAAAGACTGGCATGTTACTGATCTGACACTTGATTTGGTTTGTTTATCAATGAACCTGATTTCAAGATTGGGGCTTCCTTGTAGCCTGCCGTCTGATCCATCCGTGAGAAACTTGCAAGGTCTTTGACATTGTAGCTGTCTATTTAGTCTTACAATATGTGGTCCGCTAGGCGCCAAGGGATCTGTATGCTTCACATGTGATAGCTCTCAAGGGATCTATAGGGCCCTATCAATCAAGTCTAATCATAGAATTCATTTTTAATTACATGTACATAGGTTTGGAGATATGATCAATGTCACATATGAACTGATAATAGCTATAGTACAAATGTCAACCGGTTCAGATGATGGTTGTGTGACCACAAGTGCGGTTTTTTTCGTTTGGGTAGGGGTTGAACATTGCCTGGGAGAGCTGAGGTGATTTCCAGGCTATGGTACAAATGGACAGTTTGATAGTAATTTGTGCAAATTAGGTTGATGAATAGGTGAAGATTGATTGGGATGTTCTGCTTGACGCTTCACGCAAAAGTTGTCAAAATCAAGTTTGATGGTGTGGGCCAAGTTCCAGTGCAGGATCTCATGCTGACCCCAATCATTGAACAAAGTTGAAAACCCATGGTCATAGACATCCTGGTTGATGCCTTCCGCAAAGAGAGCTTTAGTCAGAAAAACATTGATCAAGTCTTGAGTTCTTTGCCATACTGTCTTGGTGATGGGTTTGTTTACAAGGAGCCTGTTCAAAAGGATCATAAACTGTAAGAGTTTTGTCTTGGTGATATCTCTCTTGAAGTCTTGCAGGCATGACATCAAAGGCTGTATGCCACTGGCTAGAAAGTGGAGAGAGGTGAGGAGCCTTCTGGTTCCAATGTGGTGTTGAATATCTCCGTGGCATTTTTGAATTTTTGTCTGGATTGTTCAGATTCAGAAGGAAATTCAAGCTGCCTGAGAGCACAGCGGATTGATGCACCACCTGCACCTGCCGCATAACACCTCATGATCAGGACATCCAGGGATTTGAGGCTATTGTTTGTACATGGATTGTCAAGCTTGAGTTCCATGTTGCTGGGCTGCATGTGCTGATAGTATGCAAAACAACTGATGGTGTAATTGACCTTCACAGAGATCTCAGTGTGTTCAGTCAGGTTAGGCAGCGGAGGCTTTGGATTGGCTTCCGAGCCAATGAAGTGCACTGCAGCATAGATATCTGGCTTTGAATTGTTGAGGGAATATGGAACATCTCTAGTACGCTGAGTGAAGTTGTCTTTGCCATAATCTGAGACTGTACCCTGCGGCTTTTTCATAAGGTTGATGTGGTTGAAATTGAACAAGTCATCTTGTTGGTAACTTGAATCTGCTCCAGGTTGGAATATTACTTTAGCTGAGACAAACAGACCAAGAGACTGTCAACCAAAAACTGATGACAAGAGCGGTCAAAGGAAGTGTGGTGGGTGCTCACTAGTCTCATCATAAACCTGTGCCTTCAGCATCATCTGCTTGTTTCTGAAGTACCCCAGTCCAGGTCTTCCAACCTCTACATTACTGTATACCTTGCTTCCCAGAGATTGAGGGCCTAGTCCTCTTAGAAATAATATTTTCCTTATCACATCATGCATTTGCCTGCACTCATCCACATCGAGCACTCCCCTGTGGCCTGCTTTGGTGGATATGTCACGGTGTTCACAGTCATTCCACATAGTGAGCTTGTTGGTGTCAGGAACCAAAGGCGAAGTGGGACTGTTTTGGTTTCTTGCAGAAACCGTCTTTTGTTGCTTGGAGTTTGGTGGTTTTTGGAAGGCTGCTTATGATCAGACTGCTTGGCAATCTATACTGTTTCTTCTTCACTGTTCCTCCAGCTTCCAGCCAGGCAATCTGGTCATGTTACATGGTCAGGATCATGTTTCAAATGAAGGTCAATGGGTGAAATCAACAGGGCTCTTACCATTTCTTACACTCTCCAAGACCTTGATTGTCTGCTTATACTGATTCACAATGAATGAGGTCATTTTCTGCTGAGCCAGCTGTTGTATGTGACAATGTATCTGTTCTTGGAGTGTAGCAGCATAGCTCTCTGGAAGCAGTCTCACATGAGAATCTGCAGACAACACCGCAAGCGCTACGCAACGCAATGGATTTCAACCTATTTCCATTGCGTTGCGCAGTCGGCACATTATTACGCTACACAACCACTCCGCAATGGGGTGTTTTTTTTCTAACTCACCGTTGCGTAGCGGTCGGGCAAATATTGCGGAAAATGCGCAATATTGCCCTGTTTCCGCAATATTTGCCCTAAATAACCGTCAAAAACCAACCGCAATTGCGGTGCGGGTTTCTGAGCAGGAGGTTTTTTGAACCCGGATTGCGGAGCGCTGGCACCGCACTACATTGCGTTGCTATTGCGGCGCCCAAAAGCGCTACGCAACCGCACCGCAACTGCAACATAGTGCGGTGCTCTTGCGGTATTGCTGCAGATTCCGCGAGAAAGATGGAGTTCTTTCAGATTTGTCAACCTGAAACCAAAGAAAGTCTGAGCATGCACATACCTTCATCAGCTGACACTTGATCTTTGCTTTCCTTCTGACTGGTGGACTGCATGATGATGATGATCCAAGTAAAACCTTCAATTCACAATGTGTAACAGTTGATCAAAATGATGTGGACAAAAATCATCATCATCATCATCATCACCCTTGAATTGTCTTTAGAATTCTTACACAAAGCATCCATTTTTCTCATCGCTCAATTGGACATTGCCTCACCCTGCTCATGAGTGCTCAAGTGACTCAAATTGGGTCATCTATTCAAGTGGATGAGGGTTTAGCAAAGAAGATGGCTAATTATTTTAAACCAAGAACTGATCACCAATTTCAAGAAATCAAACAAAGGTGCATCAGAAGAGCTCTTAGAGATTGGTGTCAGCTCTGCTCCTATGGTGTGGTCAATGATGATGGATATGGAAGCTTTGGGCAAGATGACACAGAGGTGGGAGAGTTTGTTGGGCGGGGCTTGTCGTAAGACTATTGAACATGTTTTATTGAATCAACTCTCAAAAGCACGAGAGAGGAAGACAACCTTTGCTTCAAGGGCAAATCAAGGTGTACATTATTCTTTTGGGAAGCAAAGACCCTCCTCAACATACACTACAATCTTAACGGCCCTTTTGTACTACCAGCATCTTGAATTCATTCCCAGTAATTTCCCAACCACAAATATGGTATGTGATAATATCATCAACTATGTGTTTTTGTACAAAACACGTCTTCAAGATGAAGAATATATAACCATTCAACATATTCAGAATGTAAATTCATTCAATGTTTTTTTATCCTTATTGATTTTGAATCAAGGATCTAATTTGTCAAAATGTAATAGAACTGTTCAGTATATGAGCACCATCCATTGAAAGTTCATATTGTGATTGATATATGTGGAACGGAAATGAGTACATATTTTTTCGATGACCACCACATAGGCTATATATACCTGAGGCTCAATCTTTGGAGTCACTTGGCCAAGCTGGGCATTCTGATTATCTTATTCAAAGTTGATTGGCTTGTTCAGAGCAATTTGCTCCAATGCTTCCAGTGCACATCCCTTTTCTTTCTCTCTTTCTTCATTTTTCTCTTTCTCTGCACCCCCTCCTGTCCATCCTTGTCTCCAACTTTTCCTTTGACTTTCCCTTTGACCTTTTCATCAGCTTTTTCTTCAACTTTCTCTCTGTTTCTTGTGTCCATTCCCTATGTAGTTCCCTTCCACTCCCCTCATTCTTCTTTTTGTATTCCCTGTTGCTTTTGGTTCCTTTTGCTTATCAGTTCAAGCAGTCCAAATTCCACATTCAATTGGAATTTTGATCTCCTTGTATTTCTTGTCTACAATTTCATTTGTATTCTCAGACTTTTGCTTGTTTCCAATCTTGTTTGTCTGTACATCCTTTGCTTCCTTGTCTTTGATCTCCTGAACCACATCCTCAACCTATACATTGTTCAATGTCAAATCTATCATGTGTCTCTCTTTTTTTACTGCCCTCATCATCATTAATTTGCCTCATATTTGTATTCCCATCAGCATGATCAATCTTAGTCCCAACCTGTTTTCTTGATTCATGTGGCCTATCATCATCCTCAGCTCACCTTTTCTCTTCCTTTCCTGTTGTTTGTTTTCAGTGTACATTCTCCTCCCTTATCCTGTCCCTCTTTGCAATGTATCACTAGAAGTATATGAACAAAACATACGGTATGATATGTTCAATGTGCCAAGCAAGAAAAGACCACAACAGAAAGGCAAATTCAAAAATTAAAAAATTAAGACTGCTGAATGCTTGATTGGGTATATGTTTGACAGATGTAATATCCTCAGCATAATCAGAACTTTCTTGGCAACATATAACACCAGGAAATTTTTTGAGCTTTATCAATCAACTTTCCTGAGTTAGATATCATGGATTTGGACCCGGGGTGTTTGCCAAATGTATCTCATTTTTGGGTATCATTCCACCAAAACAATCTCAACACCATTGTCAACTTCATTGAAAAGGCAGGGAAAGGCATCAAATTATATGAGTATATTCCCATCTGCACCACACCCCTCAACAGCATGGTCTTACCCAACAACACAGGCTCTGGGATATTCCAAAGCTTGATGGAGTCAGTAGAGAGTATCTCCATTGAATTCCTGTGCAACATCTTTGAAAATCTGCGCTCAGTCATCTTCCCAAATTTACAAGTGCTCCGGTGTAAGCATCTGAATTCTTCTGGTATGCCAACCTGTTTAAAATGGGCAATATTTGAAAACATCAAAGTGCTTATTATGAATGACACCAATAATTGTGCCCTGTGGCAAGCAGTTCTATGAGAGTTGGTAAATGTCAACAAGTCTCCCATTTTTAACAATGTGGAGCATTTGATCTTTATTACTGGAGATTTCAGAAGCCCTGGAGAAACAGACTTGGCAACTGGGTTTAGACAACATTGGATCAGTTCTGACTCTAGGCCAGAGATAACACACTCTGACATAGACACAATCCATTGAAATTGATGTTGACCTCCTGAGGTTTGATACAGCATTTGAAAACGACAAGGCGCAAGCTTCCAATTTGACTGCTCATCAAGTGTTGGTGATCAACTTGTGCTGTGTTTCAGAGTTTCGCCATGCTCAGCTCAGAGAAAGGAACAAATTGTGCTTTGTCATTCTGATCTGAAGTGTTTGATGAAAGAAACAGAATGACATAATGACACACTGGTTAGTTTTGGATTAAGGTCAACTCATCAAACAAGAATGTCCCACTAACACCATTAATGTTTGTGCATGTGAATCATTAGTTGGCATTGTCAACAGATTCTTCAAAGCAATCCAAACCTCATGGATTCAGTTTATATGTTCACTACTCAGTTTTTCCGGGAACTCACAAATGAGCATATGAAGGCTTTGAAAAGATCAGATGATACTACAACCCAATCTGAACTTATATATGAAAGCTTGCGGAATTGGACAAAGGGCGATGACATTTTTACAAAGGATTTTGTGATCATGCCAATCTGTGAAAAGTATGTGCTTGATCTGAACGCTTTCTTATTTAGATCTGATCATGTTTTTGTTTCAGTCACCATTGGTACTCTTTTATGATTGTGAATACCGGGAAATTGTTGGATTGGTCTCAATCCACGTCTTTGGCTGTCTCAATGGATATGTCAGTTGATGTTGGATTGCCTCCACAATATGAATGTCACTGAGATGGTCCATCTCAGCCTGCACGTCTTGACCTTCAACTGTTTAAATCACATTCACCATGGAACCACCAAGACAATGCTTCTGGACTTTTTTCTAGAAGCAAATAACAAAAGACAAACAAATTTTGCTTTGTCCATTGTGGAAACATCAAGCAGATACATGTACCTGTACCTACTCAACCTAATTTTAACAATTGTGGCCTGTACCTCGTCCACTTGGTTAAAATGTTTGTCACACATTGAGCCAAGATGTTGAAGTGGATTCACGTAAGTGTCAGATTCATCTTTCCAACTGCACGTTAACTAAAATCATGTATCATCTGTGGCTTTTTTTGAGGTAGGAATATTCCCAGCAAATTTTAAATGATACTGGGATGTATACTTTACGGGAAGTGAATCTCCTCAAAGAGGCCAGAAAAACCCTGGCACAGACGGCCCAGGATTGTATTCTCAAATGCAACCAACAGAAAGTCAAAACACAAATGCCCAACTGCAAGAATCTTTCAACAACTAAAATGGAAGTCTACAGGGCCAAAAGCAAAATCAGCCTAACCTTTCCAACCAAGGATGCAGTTGCTGCTGGAGGTATGTGTTGCCTTTTGAGGTGACTAGTAACTATGCCGGCATGCCCACAACAGGGGAACTCCACTACCTCCCTCAACAACCACCCGAGATTTACACATGTGTAAATCTCGGGTGGTTGTTAATAGTAATTGATTATTAAACGTACTTTTAAATCACTTTCTACATCAAACTATTCGTGTGAAACACGGGATCTTTTCACTGCTTAACTGTATACCAACATGAAAGCAACACAGTCATTGCACCAAGATGTAAGTATTTCCACACATAAGCCTCAAAAAAACCAATGGTTTAACTTTTTTCTATTACAACAAACATTATTAAGCTCTAATCAAGTGCACCAGAGCAGGAAAGCACTCGTAAGCTGCAGTAAGACGTGTGAAATACGCCTCCACCTCCAGAAACCCATCCTCATCAACTGCCTCTATTATCAAATGCTTTAAATTTTGTGTTGTACCAAGTTCTTGGGACGCTCCATCCACAAACCATATGAAATGTTCTAAACCGTTCACCGCTAAACTGCACGCAGAAAAAACCATCAGGACGTGTTTGTATATGCTGTTACAGTGAGCGTAGAGCCTTACCTGCTTGAAAATTGGCCACCGGCATCCTGTAAGTGGACCTCGCCTCTGTCCAAAACGTTTAGTTCAAAAGGCATATGATTGATACGTGTGCCACGTTTTACATGAAATACCTTTGCTCTCCAACAACCTACAGTCTTGATGCGTAGTTCGTCCACGTTGAATAAGCCATGGCTTTGACTTCTTCGCTCCTTAAAAAAACATTTAATTCTTTCGCTGTCCCGTTGTTTTACATTTTCAACAACCAACTTCTTGATGTCGCTGGTTTTAGTAGGATAACGACCCGCATAATGTAACAGTGCTAAAAATCCTGTGAGTACACTGTCGCAATATCTGGCAAGAGCACCTCGGAACCAGCTGAAATTACTACGTTAATTAATTATAATTTGGTTATTGCACAAATTCACGTACATCAACATTTGCTCCGCCATTCCCGCCTTGTCTACATACCAAAAAATATTGTTGTTTTTAATCCCACCTCTTCTCCCTAATTGAAATTGCATCCTGGTTACTCAAAGTCGCTTCACACCCCGAGCCATTATTGCCTCGCAACGCCGCAAATGGTTTTATACAGGAATAATAGATGGTGATATCGATGGGTGACCTTGGTGGTAAGATGTGTATTAGATGATGTGTTACAAGATATGAAGAGGTCTTTCTAAAAGTGAGATATTAAAAATGAGCGACTCTGGCTCTTCTCCCCGCCCTTTAACCTTGCGTCGAAATGTTCACTTTATTGTATGCAGGATTGTGCCATGTTGTGTCATTGTTCTCTTACCAAATTCGGCTTCCACCAAAAGCACTTTGGACTGAGCCCAGAGTATTGCCCTGAATTAGCTTTATATTGTCCGATCTCAGTTATACTTTTACTAATCAGGCGAACATAGTTGTGTTCTTCTTAGTAGTTCAGCATCTTTTTTTTCCTGACTCCTACGTCTTTTTTCAACCTCGCCATATCTTTCACTGTCGTTAATTACAACGACCACCCTTCATCCACTCACCCAATATTTCCATCATCTTCGCCTTCATTAACCCAATAATCTCCACATTAGTGCGTCAAGCCCTTAGTCATAACATTTTTGAAGGTCACAATATTCCTAAACCAAACCTCAATGGCTAATCCAATCCCAGAAGATCTCTTGAAGAAAATTTGGGAGGACATTGACTCTAGTAAGCTCTAACTTCAACTATTCCTGAGTCATTGTGCTAATTATTTGCAGATGTTCCAATTTTGAGCAGACCAACAACATTAAATGGTTCATGCATTAACGTGCCGGATGCTGTTAAATACTATTTTTGGGCATACGTACCTCAAGTTGGACTTGCTCGTATTACCATTGTAAACATCACCCATTTTGGCTCTCCTCCTAGGACTTAAGTAATGCCTACTTTACTCGTCATCAACTATTAGCTCTTCTCTGTGTTGTAATTGCAGTCCCTTTAGTCTTCTTACAAGACAGTCCACGTTGCTTCAGATTAAAATTCAAAAGATAACTTTATGTAGTTATAACTTCAACCTACCTCAATTTTCACTTATGGTGAGGCAGTAGCTTATTCACCGTGTTACAAAATTTCATTGTTTTCTTGTACACATAGGTCCTGTCCTCCAAGGTTCATGAAGCCATAGTTTACTTTTCACAATGAAAATTAGCAGTCCATATTCCTGAAAGCGAGTACTGGTATTGTTGACCAATTGCAGACTAGTGATTTGGCTCGTCCAGATGCCAACGTATCAATTTATACATTCAGCAATACCACCGGCCCTTCAACCCCTGTTCCTTCTCTCATCATGATTAACTTCAGGGTTGTTGTTTGTTATTCTAAAACACAAGAGGGTGTACGACATAACATAACAATTCCATAGAAATATGATTACAAGCGCTTTTATAGACTGGCAACTTATGACACACTATTGTTTTAAGAGACAATTCAACCCCCATCATGTTCTGTGACTTTTATACAGACATTGGGTCAATAGCTGCTTCCAGTTCAAGTGCCGTGAAAGTGCACTGGGATACCAAATTCCTGTACGTTGGCTGAACAAACGGTAATCTAGGTAGTGCGGCTCCATCAAAGTCAAACAAAACCACTTCCACACCTATGTATGTAGTCAGTAAGCTACAATTACACCCATTCAAGTTAAATCTCACTTACGACTTGGATGCGGGATAATATGCCCACCTTCAACTCGAGAAGCCAAGCAACTTGCTTGCTCTGTACCAAATTTTGGATGATGAACAAAAAATCTGGGGACAAATGCATAAGGATAGTTATACCGCAAGGAAACAAAACAAGTTTTGTTGGTCGTGTATCTATTATTCACCATTAGTGTGGTTCTTGGTATAAGCGAGCTTGACTAACTTACATATACAAAAATGGTAGTAAACTGTGTCAAGGAAGTGAGAGTTTTGAAAATATCTGCTAACGACCGCCAGTCCACGAAATACCGGCATGTTGATTCACAGAGTTGGCAGAATACGGATGAACAAATTATTGTCTGAATTTGTGTTTAGGATGTGAATGTGAAGTTGAGGATACCTCATTAATTTCTTCATCAATACTTGAAAGATTTCATTTTATATAAGGACAATGAGTTAGAAGTTCCGTTTTGATCCTTGGACCCTTTTCCAACTAAGGCCAATGCATGGTGTTTTCCATTTGATTATTGTTGATGTGCTTGTTCTGGAAAAGGCTTACATGTAAAAAGCAACGGCAAACCACGTGAGAAGTCAAAGTAGGCGTAACATGGAGCCACTGTCAACAAAGACATACAAATGTGTCATTATCTCCTAATCAAAATTCCTTTTATTAAATCTAGGTCCCTTATTGTTACAATTTTAGCGTAGTCAATAATTTTTGGCGGTTGACCTCACGTCATTGTTTAACTTACCGTCTCCTCCCTTTATCCTATCGCGGCATACAAAGCTCATTTCTATATTGTTGCTTTTCACGTTATCTTTTTTGTGTTTGTTCTCGTGAAACACACTGATGGCTTCGAGATTTCCTACATAAGGATATGGTGTATAAGGGGACAGACTCAATTCTCACATAATTAGATTCAGTCAAGTCGTTCATTACCATTCCAGTTTACACATTACTTCATTCTAAAACAATCCCACGTGAATCATCAGGTTTCCCACCACATATTAGAAGTAATTCAAAACTTTCTGAGCACAGGTAAGCACCCCCACCACTTTACAACTGCCCCAGTTGCTGATCAAATTATTGTAGTTGTTATGCCGCCAGATAAACCTTCCACCATAACTGGTTCTTATCACGACACAGTGGAAGACCTATTTTATTGCTTTTGGGCTTTGTATTCTGGAGCTAACCTTCCCAAAATTTACATTGTCTTTGTCCGACCAATATCACAGATCCCTGAATCCATCCTTAACCTTAGTGACTTACATCATCTCAACATTTCTCCTATTATTTACATATGATACACACTGGTCTTATGTGTCAAATTATCCATTAAAGTATTGCAGAAAACTTGTGAAGCCCACTCAGTCAAAGTTACCTGAAACCTCCATTCTCCTCGCATGTCAGACAATCATAGAGTATTTTGGTTTCACATTGAAGCAAGTAACTCCCCACCGTAGTGTAGAAGATTCACTACTCCATGTGTCTCTTGGTTATTAGTTACGTGAATCAAACTCACTCTACCCACTGCATCCCTCAAGCACAAATAGACTGCAGAAAGTCAGTAGCCGTAGTCATATACATTTCACAGGTTTCTTATAATCCCACTCAACTTGTGTTGGCTAGCTTGTATTATAGTCTTTGCTTCTCTTTCTAAGTCAGATCTACCGCTTCAATCTCCTAATAAAGTATGACCACAGTGATACATTAGTCTGTTTCATAACGCATCTATTATTCAAGTGATTATCTAACGCACACGTTTATTTGTGTTACATTACTATTGTTAAGTCACACTTTGTGTTAGATTTACTTACGTGGTAGAAAAATATTGCATGCTTTTGTGCTAACTATAGAGTAATGGTTTGGCAAATTTGGATTAAGATGGTTTGTATAAAAAGATCTTCAGTTTCATGACAAACTCCTCAAATACGGCCAAATATGTACCTGCTTGTGAAATTGTTCCACTTCTCTTTCTCACAAGTTATGCCTTTCATTTATGTGTTCCAATGTAACCTACGTTTTGACAACTTGGCGATATAAGACAAAACTTGTTAAGGTACCACGTTCCTATATGTTGAACTCAAAGAGTTTAACTACTCAACGCAACAAGTGTTACATTTTCAAAACTATTCCTGGTGACTTGTGCCCTGTGCTACACAATTCTCGTAGAGTTTTTTCCTTGTCAAGGAATGATGCTGTTACACTTTTATAAGCTTCAGTCCACCCCTAACAAAAATCATCTATTCCCTACTTTTTTAACATTTATGTCAAACTTAAAATAATAAGGTCAGCTTATAGGATTCCTATGAACCCATGTTCTTCCGCAATAAAACAACTGCTGTGAAACCCCAATGACCTAAATGGTGGTAGCAATACCGAAAAGACGGCTACCTGTGTCATTAATTGTTTGGCACAGGCAATCCCATCTCTATTTTCCCAATGTTACGTACGAAGGAAATGAACACACTAAGTAAAATCCAGGCTACATTGAAATTAGACTCATTGTGTATTTATAATTTCAAACAGTCAGGAAAACCAATACTCAGTTAACACCTAATTGAGTATCATTAAACATCATAAGAACAAACATTACGAAAAATACAATTATGTAGAAGCACAACAGACAATTAAACTATCAAAACGCAAGCTACGTAGTACCAATCATCATACTGTAGTATGTTCCACCCTATTCCTTCAAAATATTTTTGCATCCTTTGGTCAGTACGAGAAGTAAAAACCAACTAAAACAATAAACGCTCAGAGACTACGCTTACATTTAGTCCAAGGCTTGTTTTAAAACCACGTTCCTCGTCGTTGGTTTGGTTGCGGTTGTCAAAAGAGACATAATAGTTTCCTTTAGAGATTTGCAGAGAGATAAGGCAACATATAGTTGGCCGTGCAAAAAGACTGAATCAGGTAGTAAGACTCCAACTCTGTCTAAACTTTGTCCCTGTGATTTGTTAATTGTCAAACAAAAAGCTTCAGCAATCGGGAATTGTTGTCTGCTGAATTTCACCGCTAAAACTTTGTCGGGCGTGTGAATAAGCCATATCTTTGGTAGCATTACAACTCCCCCAATTTTCAGTCCCAAAATTACTCTGCAGTATAATACTTTATCTTGAAAATCGGTGATTAAAATTCTTGTTCCGTTGCATAAACCATTGGCAACATTTATATTTCATAGTAGAATGATGGGTAAACCTTGTTGTATGTTGATTTTGTGCTCGGGAAAGTTGTTGATTGAGGCACTATTTAAAAACTCCTCTCCGATAGGTTCAAAAGAATGTTCATCTAACACGTTCAGAGACCGCACGACAGGACCTCTCACAATTTGAGGCATCTGTTCCGTGATTTGTCCAATAATGAAAAAGAGGTAAGTTTAGGAAAGTATGTTGATAAGTAAAACTTTTGTTGGTGGGTGATTGAGAATGTTGATAGTTGGTTTAGAAATTTCATAGAAGCTTGAAAAATTCCTGGTAGATGGTTGGGAATTGTATATTAAAGATGTAGCAGTTTGAAGGGGATATGAGCGACTTCAGGTAATATAACAATTCAAGTCACCATGTAGTGGGTATGTCTGGAACAGGCATATTGTAAGTGTGCTTTTGAAAAGCTCTAAGACAATATATCTACTCAAACGGTCAATCGATTGTTGTTTGTACTTTATCATTGCTGTGCTATTAAATTGGATTGATAAGTCGAAACAGGTCCGTTAACAAGGTTGGGTGTGACCCACCTAGACACTTTTGGTTCTAAGTGTTGGCTTTAACATTCCGTTTTACATTTCAGTCGGGAGTATCACAACGAATATAATGGAGCGCAGCTGAACTCATGTTACTTGTAGATTTTACAAGCTGTAAAAGTTATTTCAAAGGACTTATAAACTGGTCAAGTTAATGTGTCAATCTGGGACACAAGTAAAAGAATTTCCGGTAGGAACAATGGGGGTGGGACAAGTCAATGCACAGGTAGTGGATTGCCTGTGAGGTATAAGGCATTGGTTCAAACATTGATTATTTGACCCGGAGGAAAAGCGACAAACAAATGATCAGATACATCATGCAGATGGTAAACACATGATAGAACATTGTATTCTCAATTACGCCATTGTAGCCTTGAGCTGGATAAGCACATTTTGGGACGATGTAGAAAAATTGATATGATTCATTAAGGCAAGTATACAAAACAAGTAAAGAACAGGAAAATAGCAAGCACAAAATGGTTGATAATAATAAATTTAAATGTGATTGACCATATCTGTTTGACTTAAGTTGATTTCTTCCCCCTTTTCAAACTCTTACCAATGGTAATTTCGGATTCTTCAAATGTACCATTGGCAGCCGTCTCTGACAATATTTTTGCTTTTTTGAAACTAAAGAAAGGTACAGAAGACAATCGGTCAACGCAAGGTGACACAAAATGAGTCTTTAAACTGACAATTTTCCTCAGGCCCTCCCGGCTGGCGTTAAGATGGTGTCTTCGGACTTGACGGCCGGGGAAGACAATTTGTCAGTTTCGCGTCCATTGGTCAAATTGATACCTGTGACCTATGTGTGAAGAAAAACCATGTTATAAGAAACCAAACACAGAGTTACAAAGTCAAGATAATAAACTAACATCAACAATAAAGCAATTGTTATCAGGATCGTAATCGACGATGTACCCATTGACAACAGCCTCCCGGTTGACTTGAAATAGGGGCTGAATCAATAATAAATTTTGAACAGGTCTGATGTAGTAGGCGACCTTAAATATTACCATTTCCTTGGTGTGAAATTGGGACGGCATAAATCAATGAAGATTCACAAAAGAAAGGATAGAAAGATGACAAACGGCATTATTGTAGTTGCTATGTTCAACAACGGCAACTACGGTAGGCTTGTCAAAGGCCTCCTCTTGAATGGTATGTCTTTTGGTGATGAGACCCAGCCCGGTAACAGCAGTTTTATCAGCAAGGGAATCCTGAACATCTTTGGAAGTGTTAACAAGCATCACATGATCAACTTCGTAATTCAACATTGGAAGAGTATCTTCCAAGTTGCGAGCAATCATGTGTGATTTCAAAACATATACACCGTCCGCTTGAAGTAGGCTGGCATTGTTTGCGTATGATGAAACTTTGACTTGGTACTCGAGGGGGTTTGTTCCTGAAAGACCTTTACATACAATAGAACTGTGGGCATTGCGGAGAGGATAGTTTGCGCTCAAATCTGTGGGCAACTATAGTGTTAAAGAAACGGAGGAATTGAATAAGGATAGGACAAAGCACAAAATGAAGGTGAGGAAAGATGCTGACAACTTCATAAACATCTAGTGGACCTGAGACGTTCAAGGTGCGAGCTTTGATTTTGTTGCTGGAAGACAACATTGAATTTGACTGAACAGAAGTTGTAAAATGGAGTTTGAGAGGAAAGGAAGAGGCAATTTGAAATCAAAGAGAGGTGGTGAATTCGAAAATTCCGGACAGTGCAGTATGAGTTTGATGCAAGGAAGGAGATTGGCAACAAAAGGACAAAAATTGTGTCAAATATGGCCAAATTTATAGTGTAGAACACAAGACTCGTAACAAGCGATGACGACAAAAGGCACTCCAAATGAATTGAAAAGAACGATAAAGACCAAAAGCATTACAAAAAGAACCAAAAGCTACAATAAAGCCCTGAGACGCCCCAGATGTTGGAGTGTGTGGTATGAAAAGCATAACATTCGATGAACTGTGCATTTGAACACAATAAAGGTCGAAAGGGGAACCCCAAATAGATCGTCAATGGAGTTAATGTGTACATCTTCAGTGAGTAAATGCACACAAAAGTGCATGGTAGCTCAAACAATAGCAAGAAAGTGCTTGTGAAAGCAACATTGAATGTTTGATACCAAGGGTCACAGGTGCTCGAGAATCCAATAGTTTTGGGAAGAGAAGTTACTCAAAAAGACAGGTTGCGTACTGATAGGCCGGGAGGTCACACCGGGAATTCAGGAACAAAAGGCAGTGAAGCAGACTTTTCAAAAGCGGTATTGACAGTAGGATAAAAGAAAAAATGAAAAGATGAGTAGTTGAAAAGGAGGAGGAGGCAAATTAAAAAAAAAAAAGGAACATCAAGTACAAACAGTACACATACCCGACACAAAAAAAGCAGTACTGAACTAATGAAGCCACAACTCATGCGAGTACCTTGTAACATTTTGTTATTTGGATTGGGCCGGTCACTCACAAAATAAATTGGGCAGATCATGTAGAAGCATTGCAAAAGTTGATTGGCAGGCCACCCAAAGATAAATTTGATGTTGGCGTTTCAGACAGTGAGGGCCATTGTTTGCCTGTGGAGGATGACTTCAAAAGGAATCAATATCACCCCAGCATCAGAAGCATTGTAGTCAAAGCCAATTGGCCCTGACCAATGTAGAGTGCTAACCCAAAACCTCTGGCCAGTCTGCAACCGTACGCCAGTCCAGGCGGCTTGTGAAGCCAAACCATCAAGTCTCAAAAGGGAAGAAAAAGCAGAAACAAGGATGAAGACCTTTTTGATCTGTGTTATCCTATCCTCACATTGGACAAAAGTCTTATTGATCAAATGCTGAATTTTTGTGTGAACTTGTGGGTTATTTCCAATCACGGCTTCCAAGGCAAATGATAGTTTCTGAGATTGTGTGAAGAGGTATTAAGGAATCCATAGCATTATGTCCATGAGAAACTAGCAATTGCAACTAAGACTGGCATCAAACAATAATTCTGTGACACAAGTAACAAAGTCCTTTAGATTACCCATTGCAAAAATTGTTTCCTGTGGTTACTGTAACAATCCTACATCTTCAGATGAGCTGGCTACTAAGCTCCAAACTTTGTGGAATTTGGAGCTGGAGCTCACAGTTGGTCTGGTTCAATGTGCCTCAGACCAGGCGTCTTCAATATGATAACATTCTAGATTGTACTCTAGGCAATACGTTACCCACTACACTTGGCCAGCCAGTTCAGAGTTTGTTGAAAGAGTCCCAACATACCCCATCAAGGGAGATCCCTAACCCTAACCCTAACCCTATTCTTGATATGTTTTGAGTTGAACAATTGTAAGCCACACCAGCCTCAATGGTCCACTATAAAGTCATGAAAGAGGCAAGCCGGGTTAGTCCACATAGACAGAGTAGTCCTGTAGATGTTGCAGAGAGTGCAGATGATGGCCGCTTTTGAGATAACTGGAGTCATGTGGGCTGCCCTTATGTGATGGTCTGTGCTATAATGATTTTCTTCATCCAAAGGGTGGTAATTGATTAATACTAACTGCATCAGGGGGCTTTGGTAGCACAAAGAGCACCTATTTTGGGATTACTTTGCATTATAATGAACATTAAATTGTAAAAAGGTGATTACTTTATACACATCAAAAATGGACAACTGTCAGTATGAGTGGTGCTGTGGGCATTAGCCCCAGAAGGAGTCTTTGCCTTAGATATTTTGGTATGTGAATTGCAACAGGATCCTTGAAGCAAGGTGGAAAGTTGAAGTAGGTTGAGAAAAGGGCGGACATTCAAATTGAACAATGTCTCAACAACAATGAATGGATATATGAACATTGGAATTGACAAAATTACATTTGTTGAAGGAAATATAAATTCCAAATTGATACCAGGGAAATCTTATCTATTGAGGGGGACAGGTCAGCGCTCATCAGAGATGGGCCAGCAGAAACCTAAACGTGGGTAGAAAGGTAAGAGGGAGGTTTTTACAAAGATGTGTGAGTGGATATTGACAGTCAGGCTCATGTTGAAGTAAAAGGTCTAGGATACATCACAAAAAGTGAGAGATCTACAGGTGGAAATGAAAATAGGTGGTTCATCCTGGTCATACAGCAGGGAGAATGGCTACTCAATGAAGTCGTGATGATATTGGTAAAGTAACAATGTAGCGAATTTATGTATTCAGGTATCTGGTTACACTGAGTTTACATTGGAATATTGGTATATAGATAACAGCATATGGAATGCCAAACCAATTGCACTGTTTAACAAGGTTAGGGTACTTGGAAAGCTCAACGGTGTGGCAAAAGATAAAGCAATGTGGTGTGTGCAGTTGAGCCTTTGATTCACATACATTGAGGCCTGGTACTGAATCCTCTGCAGTTGAAATGGATAGCTTTGATAGGGTAGTAAGCAGAGTAGTGGTGGTTAGTTTGCAAGTTGAGTAGACAGTTAGCAAATGAAGATGGAAACCGTAAAAGGGAGATACTTCTCACTGAATCCTTTTTTAATTATGCTCACCCATTTTCCAACAACTATATGGGACTAGATGTGACATTAGAAACTTAATGCAATCTGTGGGAAAAAACTGAGTTCTTGATGGGGGTCAGTCAGCTTATTCTACAGAAGCTTGTTGAGCCCCTGTTACCTATGGATGGTGGGCCACTCAATACCTTATCATTTTTAAAAACTTCTTAAATCATTTCTGCAATGCAATGGATTGAAATTGGTACCATTTTTGAGGTTTGAGTGTAAAAACACACATGAGAAACTGTTTTGTTTATGATCAATACTTTTTTGGTGAAAATTGATAAAAACCACCCAATTAATTCTACTTTTTTGCCTGTATGATTCATTGTGCTATGCTGTAGACACATGTTTGAAGTTTTGACCTTTCCAACATCCCATCACCACTAAAAATTCATGAAGGCACAGCAAAACCACCCTGATAGCAAAGACTACAGTGATGTAATGTCCCACATTTGGAAGCCATCCAGTTATCTCTGCCCACAGCAGGGTTTGAACCAACAACCAATACCAGTAGTGGGAAGAAAAGCTGACCAGCCAACCGCTAGCACTGCGGGGAAACCACCGAAGTGAGCCTGGCTTATGCCACCGTGAAGTGAGCCACAGGTTGGCCTGTGTCTTGCACCACCCAAAATGCAGATCCAGGCCTGACAAAAGCGTTAGCATACATTTCCCAAAACTCATTACATTTTCAACATCACTTCCCATGCCACCCGCCAACCTTGTTGTATGTGAGTATTCTCTTTGCATCCTCAACAATTTCACTGAAGACAACTCACAAAGACAAAATGGGACCTATGTCTCAAACCGCAATCAACAAAAGAACATAGCCTCTGACCTTGAGGCAACACAAGCATCTTTTTGAGCAGTTGTCATGAATCCCAACCAGGATGAAGATGAAGATGATCTAGAAGATGCTGAAAGGGATACCAAGAGCTCAGCTGGCATCAGTGACAGTGATAGTGAAGATGATAATACCAGTCTTGTCATCAAAGGTAAGTATTGGCAGGTTTAAACCCTTGAAGCTGTTACTGATGTGTACTTTTAGGTCAAGCATCTCTCTTTTTGACCGGGCTTCAGTCAAGCTAGCTGCCTCACAGCACAGGCCTTCTTAGTCAAATTGTGGAATTTTCTTGACTCCTTCCTCCTGAAACAACCACCTAAAAACTAACTAATTCCAAAAGACATCTGGACTTTGATGAACCAGATAAACATCATGTCAGAACTGACATAAAATATGCTGCTGGACCTGGTATATGATGTGTACCCCTTGAAAGGCCCCAATGTACTGCACCTACAAAGAAACCAGCACATCAGCTCCATGTGGTGAATCATTTTTCAGACAAGGGAACAACTTTTGACTGGTCAAAGACCAAGGATTGTATCAAAGGCAGCCCTACAGAATCAATCCAAAACATCTTGTCAACCAAAATATCCCCAAACCTGTAAATGTTACCCATTCCGTTGTTTTGCGGCTCAATTGTTTTCTCCAAAACCCCAATAGCAAAGCTAGCATCAACAAATGGGCAGGTGAGATTGGCAACACCTTGGATCCCGGCATGTTTGAAGTTCAACGGTCTCCAGCATGGAAAAGTTCATATTGTGATACAACAGATCTATGCATTCAAACTACCTCGAGCTGGCAATTAATCTTTACATTTACTGGTTCAAACCACATGTCAACATGATTGCAGGGAAGCAGGAGTCTTTAGGTGTTATGGCTCCTGACTGTCCAAACTTTCCACTGTTCACTTGAAATCTGATGCGCAACACTTGCATCGCTGGAATTATCCCTGGACCTCACAAACCTGATATGGCCACAACCAACCATGTATGCCTTTGACCAATGAGCTACTAATTCTGGAAAATGGAATCCACATCAAGACATACCAACTTCCTGGAGAACAACTTGTGAAAGTAAGACTCCTTACTCTTATTGGTGATATTGTGGCTGTCCATGAGTATACAGGCTATGCTTCACACTTGGCAAACCAATTTTGCTTTTGGTGCCATTGCACCCAACAAGGATGAGTAGACCTGCTCCTTGGTAAACAACAGACTAAGCAAGAGGTGCTGAATTGTGCGGCGGCATGGAATACCACAAATCCACTGAAGGAAACAAAAGCAAACTTGTAACCAAGTTGGGCATTTGACACTCAAGACTCAATTGATTAAACTATTGAGACACAGTTAATCATGTACCCCTTGGTATCATACATGAATGGCTCAAAGGTTTCCTCCAGCATCACTTCGGGTATTGATGGTCTTTTAAAGGAAAACATAAGACAACCCCAGCTGAAACTGATTGGATAAAAGAAGACAATGATTCAGATGAGGATGATAATGTAAGCATGGTGGGGGGTGGGACAATGATTTGACTTGAAACAAGGAACAGACTAAAGTCTCTATTCAGAATGCAAACTAATTGATCTCCTGCGCCTCTTCAAAAATGTGTTACTGCCATCTGATGTAAATCAATTCCCAAGAGACTTGGTGATGTCCCCCATGTCAAGCTGAAATCTTGTCAGTGGAAGTCGCTTTTTCTGTATGTTCTCCCCCTGGTTATCTTGGAACTCCTTGTCCTCAACGTGGATGACTTTCAGTCCCTTTCAAACCGATATACACTTGTTTGCCACATTGCCAGCTTAGTTTGGTGCACTCAAATTGTCTTTGCAAAGACAGCCTCCCAGGACACAATCAACTTTGTAGAATGTATTTGATCTACGGGGTACTTCAAAGCAGGTTTGCCATCGTTTGAAATTTCTTGCCAATCATAACTATGCCTTGCACATACCGGAAATGATGGAGTACTGGGGACCATTAATGGGGGTTTCCAAATTTGCTGGTGAACGGACCAATGGGTTATTGCAGAAATTTAAAACAAACCACTTGCTGAGTAAGTGGTCCATCTATGTGTTTCACACTTGTCCTGGGAAGTTGACTGTCCCTCCCTTTGCATTTCAGCTCAGATGGACAAAGCCATGATGAATAAGATGTTGGTGCTTCACAAGTTCCAGATGGACTTTTCTGTTCCAATCTTAGATAGAGAGCAACCCACAGTCAATGCAGCATAGATTTGCATTTTGGACAATCTGTGCGTAAAAATCCTAGCTCATTTGAAACTCAAATATCCTAATTTGAGAGATTACCACAACTACCCACACCAATCAGAGTCAACAATCTTGCAGCCTTTTGAAACACCAATTGGTAGGTTATTGATTGATAAAGAGTTGCACATGTTTGGTATCTTGCCAAAAAACCAAATAACTGTGTGTGCTGAAGAAGGAGGGGAGAACAAAGGGATACATGATGATGAAGCAAATCTATTGGTTTGAAAACAGAATGGGTGGTATTCAGGAGGCCGCACTAGTAGGCTGATGTGTTTGCATGGAATTGAATGTTGAATCTCAAACTTTAGATTTTAATTTTCCTTGATGGGATGTGTGATAGGAACCACAGAAACCGGATCTATGTTGTTGCTAGACCTAACTTAGTTGATTGCAATTGCAGCGTACCAGGTGCTACCCTCTCACACTTTTGGCCTACCTCATGGTGGCATTATACTGCAGCCTGTTCATCATTAGTTAAACTTTTTAATTTTCTCTCAACACTGTCTCCTCCTTGACTTTTGTGTCTCTATGTCTTTGTTTTATGATTATGAAATGAAGCTTTTATCTCTATGTCAGATACAATCCCAGCTTTGTCAGCCCTAATGTTTGAGTCCTAGATGAATGCATTGAAAAAGGTCTCAAAAGTCACTTTGAACTGAGGCGGAATCCCACTTCTTGTGAATTTCACAGGTGTTCTTTGGAGAAACTACTAATGAGAAATGAAGAAAAACAGACAAGACAATTTTTTCATACTTATTTTTTTAGACAGACACAACTCAATGAATATGTAACAGATGAGAAATGATGGATCATATTACCTTAGTTTTGTCTAATGGGGCTGGATGCTTGTCAGAAAATATTGGATGGAGATGGCTTCTAGGTGGTTTAGCAGGGCTGGCTTTGACCCTGGCTCTTCCTTTCATTGAAACTACAGCAGGCCCAATACCACCTGTGGCCCCTAGATTACTCGGCCCCGAACCGAAGATAATGCGTGCATTATCATGGGATAGTATCCCAAAATCGGGTCGCAGATGAGGCCAGAGCTGCCAGAGTAGTCTGAGAAAATTTTTCAAAAATAGCTTCCAAGTTTCCACAAATTTACCTCATCAAGTTATGATATCATATGACTTTTTCTATGTTCTGAACACCCATTGGGATGTATTCAGAAATTTTTAGCCCATCTCACTGTCATCAGACACCTCTAAGAGGGATAAACGCGCTCAAGCTCACAATCTGGCTCATCTGACCGAATCTGGCTAAGCCTAGATTCATCTGACTGAGTCTGGCAGCCGACTGGACTCTGGCCTGTGTATTTTTTCAAACCAACTTCTCAGATTCATCTGGCCACACAACTTCCCACCCACTGTAGTTCCACATATATATACGCTGTAGCTGCAGCAGATGAGTCTGACCAGACCTGCAGATTCGTTTGTTCCAAGATATTTACACCGAACCTACATACAGTCATAAGTCAATCTGACTAGCCCCGATGGTCAACTACCACCAATCCATCCCACCTGGTGAGTTCGGATAGTGGTTACCAAGACCATCAAGTCAGGGGAGATCTCATCTGGTATCATCTGAGCAGCTCCTCATCTACATACATAAAATGTACTCGCTCACACCACCCATCTGGCCAAGGTAACTCTTTGAGTTGAATTACCAAACCCCCTTTGCCTTCTTCCTGGATTGGTACACAGCCTACCTGTATCATAACACAAAATTTATTTCAGCTTCCAACTGTCACTACCTTCATGTGAACACACAACAATCAGATGATAAATGATTATTAGGGAAGCGTTCCTAACCTCATTTAGAAAAGAATGATAAGATGAAGACCGAAAAATAGAGAGTATGATGAAATTTTTATGAACTGTCTTTCAACAATGAGAATGCCAAAGGTATTATACATACTTCCAGGTGGAAAAATACCACTTGTACCGTTTGTCATCAAATGTTTAGGCACTTATGAGCATTAGACATTGCTCATGCTAAATGTACCATCTCCCCTCTGTTCAACAAGTAGAGTGAGGTGCAACTACCAAATCAGCAGGGTTATGAAGTGATGAACACTGACTACATACAAGTGGTGAGTTGGGTTCTTGTCTCATCTGGCAGAAAATTGAGTCAACTTGCAAAGGGGGCAGATGCATCTGCCCTCATCTGCCCAAAACAAAACTTCGGGCAAACAAGTCTGACTTCATCTGGCAGTCAGAAGATCAACTGAAAAAAGTTGAGTCACACCGGTAAAAGGGCAGATACATCTGCCCTCATCTGGCCGGCTCCTTCTTTCACTCGGGTTAGGGAGCATCTCATCTGTCTTCATCTTGTCACAGACTAATCTCGCCCACATCATCATGAAGGTACTCATATTGAAGAAGATGAGTACCTTTTACAATAGTTCACATGTTCTCTCATTTTTTGTTCTCTCGATGTTTGATTCAGTGAACAGCAAAACTGGATAAAATCATTACAAATTTGTGCGCAAAAACATGAAATCATTGACTATACTTAACAAGAATCTTACTCTTCGTCTTCACTGTCCCCTTCAGAAGAACTCCCACTCCCCTTTTTGTTTTTTTCACCTTCATTTTCTGCTCCTTGACTTGCAGTAATCTCACCAACTGCCACTGCCTTGTCTATCTCACGTGCCGGTGTCGCTAAAGCCGTCTTAATCTCATTAGCGTTCAAAACTACCGGCTCCCCAATCCTTTCTTCAGAACCAACCCTGAGTTCAACTAAACGAAAAAGACCATCCTTTATGTCGTTGATCCACTCGAGTCTTATAGCTGATCGCATTTTCTTGAATCCAACCATCAGTTTTTCATCGGTTAATCTTGAGCCTTCTTCAAGGATAATCCCAATGGGAAGACTCCTTTTCTTCAATTCTGCAACCGGATCAGCGGTCTGCGGGAATGATTGAGTGGGTAAGTAGCCTAATGTTTTAACTGACAGTGTAATACCATTAGATCTTTGAGAGCTTTGAAATCAGAAAGAATCAATATTGTATGAAAAGTAATTACGTGTAATACCAGCAAGAAGACGTCCTAAATCAATCTTGATTTTGTCACTAGGCTGTAGCTTGTCGCTCCTTTGTCGTTTTGGTTTTGGATGAGTCGACGCAATTGCCTTGGCCATTGATTCACCTTGTGAGTACGTAGCAAATACTGCAGCAAGATTCAACTTGTCATTGGCCCAAGTTGCTACCTGCGGATGGGTTGTGAACTCCTTGAGCCACCCTAGATCTTTTGATTTATTCGGGGTAACAGTGCTTGTTGCAACTAGGTAGTAGGCGAAATCCAACCTATTTGCTTCACATGCAAGCTAATACCAAAGAGAGAGTGAGCTGTATTCAAAAAACACAATTACGAGTTTTAAATAACACCTACCTGATGTGAAATCTTCTCAATTGCAGTCTTAGATTTACGTTGGAGTTGTGAGTTTGAAGGACCTGATGGAGGCTTTTCTAATTCAGCGGTCACCTTCTTCAAATCCACCATACGTTTGTATATAGGGCGATAAAGCTCATCTTCCTCAATGCTCAGCTTGTGAACTGTTGGCACTGGGACAAAAGAGTCGCCACGATCATCTTCTTGTTCATCGTCATCGTCCCGGTCAACTTCGTCCGATTCAAAATCCAAGGGGTTGGGCACGCCAGCCAGAGCATAGAAGTTTGTTGGGTGAAATACCGCCCTCTCATCGTCAGAAAGGCTATCCCATCGTTCTCCATTCTTTCGGTTACGATCACCCAAGACAGTATCACCATCATCTTGCGCTTTTAGCGGCACTGAGGTGAGGACGAGCAAATGCCGAGGTCAGCATTGTAATTAACCTATGTACTGGAAGGTTCCACTCACTTGGTTCGGCTAGACAATCTACACAGTATTTGAGGAAAAGTGTATAAGCACTTGCTTTTTGTATGGCAGCGACTTCGGGTCTGAAATGTATGTACAAACAATGTGAGCAAAATGGTTTGAAATTATCAAAGATTGATTTGTAAACAGATTGAGAGTATGAGAAATCAGTTGAGAAGAACAAGAAACTGTAAAATCCAATTCAGAGAAGGACACGAATAAAAAAAAATTGATTTAGAGAAAGATCAACCTACATATAAGACTTGATGGTGCTTTCACTAACTTCACCAATCATAGCAAGCATGAGGAGCTCTTGCTTGAAGAGCTTGTAGACTAATTTAACACGACTTTGGATGTCGGATGGTGGGCGGTTCTTGTTTGAATGCTTCTTTTCTCGGAGATGTTTCCGAATACGGCCAGGAGGCCATGATGACATCAACTCCCGATAATTTTGCAGTGTAGGAGTGACATCAGCTTCCACACGATTGGTACTTTTAGATTCGTTCGGAACGCTATTAGATTCTTCTTTGTTGTTGTCCTCAGCTCGGTAGGAAGATGTTCTGCTGCAGGTTCAGAGGTATCATTCTGTGAGTCGTTGCGAATTCTTTTGGCTATGGGTGCTCTGCGTGGTGGAGGTCTCTTGGTGTTGCGTCCGGCGTTTGGTACATCCCCGGGAGCTGTCTCTTTTGGTCCAGCAGGTGCTTGATTGGGAGAATTAGAGGTATTTCCTTGGCGGTTTCGAGTGCGAGGAGGCATGGAAGATTCAATGGTTCCGTGTTGGAGGCAGAAAGATAATGAAAAAGATCAAAGACAGTGGAGGAAAAGGTTTGGGATCTACACAGAGGTATTTACCGCCTTATAAGTGATCTTACATATCACATCAAAGTATGTAACATACAGACTACATGGCACTCATACAGTTACTACTCGTTGATCTAGTACTGTTTGTATTCATGTTTACATTTCAAAGTGAGTAGGACCAAGAACACAAATATGATCAGAAGAAGCTTTGTTGTTTGGTAAAGTTGTACATTGATTGTATATTTTTGGAGATGATTGTATTATAATTCAAAAAGATATTAACAAGATTCTGGACATAATGATCACTACCTCCACGTGCTTTGATGTGATATTTATACAAACAGGCTTCAGTATGAGGGGGGACCATTCAACCATCATATTAAATCAATCACATAGCTAAATGCTGGGATTTTGAAAGACTGTAGGGTCAACAATGCAACACACCATCATTGCTCACAAAATGAATAATACCCCCCATGTTATTTTGGTGGTATATATAAAGATAATGAGTGCTTGGTCAGTTCCAATATAAACACCCATTGTATTGATATATTCTAATATATTAATACAATCACAACCACATGGTTATTGCCTACACTTTGCTTTCACAGTGTCATTTTGGAGGGTTATACACTATACAATTTTAATTGTGTAGTGTCAATTTCTCATTTTGTGAAGAGAGGTAATGTACATTTAATGTTGTGGTGTGATTGATTTCCCCACACATTCACTCAGGGGCTGTGTCTGCAGGAGGGTTCACTCATAAACTCAAGATGTGGCATACTGTAACTTGGTACAGGTGTAGTGTAACTCACAATTACCCTGTTCTGACAAGTTCACTCGTGTTTTGGGGGCTTCACCCAGATGTGATTGGACAATTCACTCCAGATTTGTCCATTTCACACCTTAAATGATGTGAAAGATGTTTTAACAACAACTTCACAAGTGGTTTGGAGGCTTCACTCCAATTGCTGTGTACAATTCACTCTGGATGCAAAAGTACATTTTACACATCAAGCCTTGTGAAATGTACTTTTCTGACCTGTTCACTCTTGTTTTGGGGCCTTCACCAAGATGTGATGGGACAATTCACTCCAGAAACGTCCATTTCACACCTTGAATGTTGTGAAAGATGTTTTAAAGACATCTTCACAAGTGTTTTGGAGTCTTCACTCCAATTGCTTTGTACAATTCACTCTGGAAAGGTACATTTTACACATCAAGTCGTGTGAAAGGTACTTTTCGCACGTCGTGTGCAAGGTACTTTTCACACGACTTGATGTGTAAAGGCTGATGTGATGGGACAATCCCTTTTATGGAGTGAGTGTTGTGAAAAATGTTTTGAAAACATCTTCACAAGTGTTTTAGGGGCTTCACTCCTGTTGCCGTGTACACTTCGCTCCGGAAAAGTACATTTCACACATTAAGTAGTGTGAAATGTAGTATTCTGACCCGTTCACACGTGTTTCGGAGCCTTCACTCCGATGTGATGGGACAATTCACTCCATAAAAGTCATTTTCACACTGTGAATGTTGTGAAAGATGTTTTGAAAACAACTTCACAAGTGTTTTCGAATCTTCACTCCCATTGCCGTGTACAATTCACTCTGGAAAAGTACATTTCACACATTAAGTAGTGTGAAATGTAGTATTCTGACCCGTTCACTCCTGTTTTGGAGGCTTCACTCCAATGTAATGGGACAACCCACTCCATAAAAGTCCCTTTCACACCTTAAATGTTGGGAAAGGGTTTTTCACATCATTTAAGGTCCATATTTAGTAGCCTTCACTTGGATTACCATGGACTATTCACTAGGGAATCAGTGTAAGATGAAGTTTGACTACCACTTCACTTGTGTTTCCCAGGCTTCCCTCAGATGTCATCGAACAATTCACTCCACAACAGTCCTTTTCACATCTTAAATGTTGGGAAAGTTTTTTTCACGACCCTTTATCCATGTTTTGAAGGGTTCACACTTGAATGATTTACACATGTTTTGTAGTCTTCACTTGCATTACCATGGCTAGATATATTTCAACATCTTCACTCAATCATCGGAGGAATCACACTTAAAAAGGAAGTCTTTCCCTCCAGCAATGGAGGTGTCACACATATCAAAACTCAGGAGAGGCTTGTGTCTCATACGTACCATACTTATCTGGTCTTTCACTTGGTTCCTCATATGAAACCAAGTGAACATGCCATGGTAGGTTTCCACATTTGAATGCGCAGTTGAAGCCATCTGCTGACTGCTGGTGGGTTTCAAGGTATTGGGAAAGGAAGCTCTCATCATTTTTGCGAGGTAGAAATATGGGTGGAAATATTGGCCTTTTAATCATGAAGAACTGGTTTCAACATAGAACTGCATAACTCCATTCCAGAGGATAGACAACTACCACACAAATACATACTCCGATACTATACCATTCATGGCAGTTGCTTGATCAACTCCTTCACCATATCAGCCCTTTTCTTCCTAGCCAACTGTGCACGTAACAATTTCTTGGCCTTACAACGATCCATTTTATCATTGTTTTCATTTATGTAAGTCTTCACACGCTCCTTTTTGAAGATTTCCCACGCTGCCGGGCTCATTTTTTCTTTCTCCTTTTCCAGCAATTGAATCCTTTGAACCAGTTTCTCGGATATCTGACAGGACGAACCAAACTGAGTGACTTTACATTCTTCAGGTTTGACCGGCTTCCCTTCCGCATTGTAAGAGTTGGAAGTGGTGGTATAATGGGGTATCTGTTTCCAAAATCATAAGGGCTCAATCATTGCGAGATATATGAAATTGTAAGAGCAAGCAACTCACTTGGCTATCCCATAGTATCTCATACACTCCATTACAACGCGCTAGAGCAACCTTGATTCCAAAACGTCGAACAACAAAATATAGATCCTCAACAGAACCTAGTTGCGCAGCTTGAGCCCTGTCACAAGGATGACCGGTGGATCGGATGATGAGACCAAACAGACCAAAAGCATATTGAGTGTGATCATTATCAGTATGCTCTCGATTCGCAAAACCATCACATGATACCACGAGATTCGAAGCAAACACCATTCCATTAGGTGTATCCTGCCACTCGAGGTCATGAAAGCCAGGAACTTTGGTAAGGAGACCAATGGCAATATTGGTCTTGAATACATAAAGTGAAAGACTGGCAAATCGTCCGGCTAAGAAATCCCTAATGATATGGAATCGCTCCATACGCTGTTGGTCCGTCAGCATCCGGTCTTCCTTAGTAGCAGTGAATGCACTCATAGCATACGCTCCTGGGTTGTTACAATGTGTCAATGGATCAATTCAGAAATAGGAAAGGTTAAAAAGGTGAAAAATATTGATTCTCACCAAGGGATTTGTCTGCATCACTTCCACCTCGCCATCCACAGCACCCCATCCAACCACAGATGTGCTCATGATCATCTTCTGGCACCTTACTGGCATCATCCTTCTTTCGCTTATGGGAGGCATTGATGGTACATTGATTTCGAGCCCTGGCGTGAAGATAGGCAGTCGAGATGGTGTGATCGAATTGCTCGCGAAGGTCATCGTCCATGGTTCTAAATCGGTTACATCGAACGGCTATCACTAGGGATAGATCTTCCTTGTTGATCACAACCACAGTGCCATGATGAATTTCAATCACTTTTGACTCTTCTTGATTCATGCGAGCATTTTCAGGATGACGAAAGAGGAACTTGGTATTGAGTGGAAGTCCCAGTTCAGTGGCTAGTTGGCATTTGAGCGTGGTACGTTTGCGGTGATGACGGTAATAAGCATGTCCAATACTACATCTCTTGTCTCGTTTCTTCTGATACGTCAGATGGCACGGTGAAGATTTGGATTTGTAATTTGATGGCTTCACACCGGCCGCGAGTTTAGCTGCTCGATTACGTTGTCTCCCCATCACCTCAATTGCTGTCAAAGTTTCGATTGATAGAAGCTGAATTGAAATGTGAATGGAGGTCTATTCTTGACAAGAATTGACCTGATTGGCCGCTCAATGTGTCTCCGATAGGTATCTAGAACTAACAAACAGTAACCATTCAAAAGAATCAGAACAGTAGTTGATCATAAATTGGTTTAAATTGTTTGCTGATACTAACAACTATCGTCGAGAATTGTCAATCGATCTGTATCTATCTAGATATCTTGATAGACAAGTCGCGTATGGTAAGAATCGTTTATCTTTTGATAGATGCTTTATTGGAATTCTGATGGATCTAGATATCTTGATAGACAAGTCGCGTATGGTAAGGATCGTTTAACTTTTGATAGATGCTTTATTGGAATCCAGACTGGGTCTCTAATGTATAAAGGATGCGAGATGAATCCAGTAGATGAGTCTTGAGTTGAAGGTGAGGAATTCACAGTAGATGAGTCTTGAGTCGAAGGTGAGGAATTCACAGTAGATGAGTCTTGAGTCGAAGGTGAGGAATTCAAAAGCCCTTCCAATACGGTTTCGCCCTTCAGGCCGATTGATGAATATCAAGAGGAAGGCAAGCGAAAGTGAAAGTGGTTTGTTTGGGAGGAAAAGGTAAATGTGAGTGAAATCGTTTTCAACATATTGATTTCAAATCGTACCTTTGGATTCTTAGTGTCCCAGTTGGTTCAAAAGGGTTTGCAGTATTGAGGTAGGTCTATCAATCTAGAAACACCAACTGTTCTCACCTTCGAATGAAAGTGAATATTGATTGATTGTAAGAGAACAATAAATGTGAGTGAAAGATGTTTCAAGATAAACTTTTTGAATCATACCTTGGGATGAGAAGGTTTGCACGTCGTTTGGAAAGGTTCGCAGTGGTGAAGTAGGTCGTTCGATGTAGAAACACCAAGGGATAAAAATCTTGAATGCGGAAAACCCCACACCAAACAAACAGAATGCCGTATGACCCCCTGGTTCGTAGCACAGAGTCCAACAACACAACAGGCCAATCAGCAACTTCTGTTGTTTGATGATGGGGTTTCCTGCAGGTACGTGGAAGAGGCAGAGTGGAGTTTTGAGGTGAGGTGAGCAAGTGAATCAGATAGGGTTTCCTGCAGGTACGTGAGGTAGAGCAAGAGTGATGATTTATGTTGGTCGAGGAGGTCAGGTGAGTGAATCAACCCTAAGAATAAGATTTAGGATATTGCTTTTAGGGTTAGAGACTAACCTAACTATGTAACTTTCGTTAGGGTTAGAGATAATAGCAAACCCAATATGTCACTACTAGGTTAGGGTTCCCAAGGTCTGTAGCCGGGTTACACCGGGCTACAGACCTTGGGAATTTAGGGCAGGGTACCCTGAATAGCTCTACACACCGTTAACTTATGGTCTTGTGTGGGCCCTGGAATTGTAGTATGCCAAACATTGTGACCTCATCTTCATATATAGATGCCACTCATTGATTGTTCTATATATTTCAAATCATATGTAGAATATGAATATGAAATAAAAAACTAGTAGATGTAATGTTATGTTATTATTGGCATTAGAACTTTGGATGCTAATATAACAGTGTTGCAGGGGAGCCACATCAAAGTGGTATTATGAAACTCTATCTGAAATCTCATTTTGTCATCTGGGGAAACTCCAAACACCATTTACACCACATCCTCAGGGTGTTTGGAGGGTGTTTGGAGTGTCACAGCAAATTAGGGGGTGGGTATTTGAGGCTTTGGATGCTAATATAACACTTTTGCAGGAGGGCCACATCAAAGTGGTATTATAAGAGTCCATCTGAAATCCAATTTTGTCATCTGGGGGAACTCCAAACACCATTTATACCACATCTTCAGGGTGTTTGGAGGGTGTTTGGAGTGTCACAGCAAATTAGGGGGTGGGTCTTTGAGGCTTTGGATGCTAATATCACAGTGTTGCAGGGGGGCCACATCAAAGTGGTCTTATGAGACTCTATCTGAAATCCAATTTTGTCATCTGGGGGAACTCCAAACACCATTTATACCACATCTTCAGGGTGTTTGGAGGGTGTTTGGAGTGTCATAACAAATTAGGGGGTGGGTGTTTGAGGCTTTGGATGCTAATATAACACTTTTGCAGGAGGGCCACATCAAAGTGGTATTATAAGACTCTATCTGAAATCCAATTTTGTCATCTGGGGGAACTCCAAACACCATTTATACCACATCTTCAGGGTGTTTGGAAGATGATTGGAGTGTCTTAGCAAATTAGGGGGTGGCAAATTACAGGTTTGGTTGCCATTATCACAAATTTGAGGTTCAGAGTAGTCAAAGTTGTATTATAAGACTCAATCTGAATTTCAATTTTGTCATCTGGGGGGGCTGAACAGGCCCAAATTGAGACATCTTCAATGTGATTGGGGTATATTTTCATTTGGGATGTGAGGGTCAGACCTGCTGAAATAAGGATTTGGCTGCCATTTTGATGGTGAAGAGTTGGAGATGAGCCAAAAGTGTATTATGAAACTCTATCTGAAATTCCATTTTGTCATCTGGGGGGGCCCAAAACACAGTTTGGCTTACTTTTAAAGGTTGTCTGACCTGTTACCATTTCCAAAATCTGATGAAAAACCATTGTGGACAAGGAAATTCACCAAACACGCAAAATTGGTTTCATGAAGCAATTTTCACCACAAATTTTCATGCTCAGGCCAAGGATGTAAGCAAAACTGTGTTTTGGCCCCCCCAGATGACAAAATGGAATTTCAGATAGAGTTTCATAATACACTTTTGGCTCATCTCAAACCCTTCACCATCAAAATGGCAGCCAAACCCTTATTTCAGCAGGTCTGACCCTCACATCCCAAATGAAAATATACCCCAATCACATTGAAGATGTCTCAATTTGGGCCTGTTCAGCCTCCCCAGATGACAAAATTGAAATTCAGATTGAGTCTTATTATACAACTTTGACTACTCTGAACCTCAAATTTGTGATAATGGAAACCAAACCCGTAATTTGCCACCCCCTAATTTGCTAAGACACTCCAATCATCCTCCAAACGCCCTGAAGATGTGGTATAAATGGTGTTTGGAGTTCCCCCAGATGACAAAATTGGATTTCAGATAGAGTTTCATAATACCACTTTGATGTGGCTCCCCTGCAACACTGTTATATTAGCATCCAAAGCCTCAAAGATCCACCCCCTAAGTTGCTGTGACACTCCAAACACCCTCCAAACACCCTGAAGATGTGGTATAAATGGTGTTTGGAGTTCCCCCAGATGACAAAATTGGATTTCAGATAGAGTTTCATAATACCACTTTGACTACTCTGAACCTCAAATTTGGGATAATGGCAACCAAACACATAATTTCCCACCCCCTAATTTGCTATGACACTCCAAACACCCTCCAAACACCCTGAGGATGTGGTATAAATAATGTTTGGAGTTCCCCCAGATGACAAAATTGGATTTCAGATAGAGTCTCATAATACCACTTTGATGTGGCTCCCCTGCAACACTGTTATATTAGCATCCAAAGCCTCAAAGACCCACCCCCTAATTTGCTATGACACTCCAAACACCCTCCAAACACCCTGAAGATGTGGTATAAATGGTGTTTGGAGTTCCCCCAGATGACAAAATTGGATTTCAGATAGACTTTTATAATACCACTTTGATGTGGCTCCAACACAAAGGCGTATTACTGGCATCCAATGGTCCAATTACCATCCACCCCATAACCTCACATCCGCAATGAAAACTCATATAATAAGATTTGAATTGACATGAAACCAATCAAATATGACTCAAATGTATGACATGGAGTCTACAACATGTAAGGAGTGCATTAAATCCACGTGTAGTTCAACCATTGAGCTAAAACTATAGTCAATGGTTGAGTTGAAATTATATATACAATGGACTACTGTCATGGCCTGTCATTAGTATGACAGACCTGTGTATCATTTGTTCCACTGACTGTCCCATTGTTGGACTACAGCTACACGTTGTCGACAACATCATCTTGACCGAAGGAATGTGCACTTAAATCCTATTGAATTGGACAATAGGAGTTAAGACCCATCTTATGTGGGAATCTCGCAATATAACCAATCCCTAAACTGACAAGTAAGGATTGGATGGACAAGATACTGTTGGGGCCCAGGTGAGAGTTTGGCAAACAACCATTTTGAAATCAAGATTCTCGAACAATCTACAGTTAAACTTCCATAGTTTCCTGTAGATTGTCACCACCTGCCCAGGAAGCTTATTGAGTGGCATGTCAGCCAACCTGATCGTGAGATAGACACAATATGTACCTTTGACATCCCAAAAGGTTATTTCAAATTTCGACAGATGACAGTCCAATAACAATAATACACACAATTGTGTATTATTTTGGTCAGCATGAACGCACAACGGCCCAACTGAAATAAATCAAACAAGAAATCCAACACAATGTTTCAATTTAAACTGAGCTATCAAGAAACACAGATCTTAGTAGCTTTGATCTAGAATTTCATACAATGTAAACAAAGAAAAAATAGACTAATGTGCTATAAGTCTTTAAGGCAAACATCCTTAGTAGCATGTATCATGTCATGTTCTGATGTCTTGGAGTATACAATATGAAGCAAGAAAACTACTATATCAATAGACTAAAAACTTAATCAGTCACTATCACCATCTTTGTTATCACCCTTATCAGATTCTCGGGAAGAGTCATCATCTTCCTCAATGTCAACTAGAATGCGTCGGGTTTCCGAATTATCTGAGGACTGTTGAGCAATCCATGCCCGTTGCCATTTCAGATTCATGAAGAGTATGATTTTGTTTTCGTAGAACGTGCCCCAACGCTCGGCCTCTCCCCATCGTACATCTTTCCAATCTGGATGAAGGAAGGGGATTGGTAGGTGGTCATTCCAAATGAGATCGAGAGATATAAAGTGATTCTTGTTGATGAAACCCAAGACAATCGTTTGACCGGAAGTATACCTGAGCTTAGGATCAGGAGATACGAAACAAGGTGGGATAAATTTGGAGTTGGCATCGGATGGGCTGTAAAAGATGACCGGCAGGTTATAAGTGTTAGCTATGATGTAACCACCCATGGGCATGGGGAACCATTCGCTTGGTTTGGCAGTCGGTTCGGTAGAGTCCAGTATGGAGGCAATACTTGCAAAATCGAAGTCACTTGAAAACTTAGGTATGTTTTCAGTGTACCAGTTTGTCATCTCATGTAGATGACGGGCAAGCTCCGCTCGAACAGCTTGGGCTTCATCAGGCGACCGTCCAAGTGAGACTGCCACAGACGAGAAAGCGCAAAGGCCATCTTGACGCACATTGGTAGCCATCTTGATGGAGGGTAAAATGTATCGCGGAAGCGTTTCCACAAATGGCCATTGCTGAAACGGAACGTTGTAATGGGTATCAGTATGTGAGATCATACATATATGGTCAGCAATCTGTAATCACCTTTAGAACCTCCTTCTCAATCTCTTCGTCTTCCTCCATTTGTTCGGGGCTTGGCACATATTGACACTTCGATGCAGAAGGAGATCAGAGTACTATTGTTAAATCATTGAAATGTCTAAGTACTCACTTTTAGTTTTGCCATGCTCCTGCTCGTCTTGGTCGTTGAAGTAGTAGACCTGATATCAGGTTCCCGATCCAGGACAATGGAAGTGGAAGTAGTCGCCAGTGAATCTTGGGGTTCTGATATTGGTGTGGCACCTGAGTTGGCTGCAATTGGAGTGGGAGATTGTGATGCACTGACCTACCCGAGAAAGAATGACTTTGGTTAGTGTACTACTTCACTTGAAAATATAGATTATGGACATACTACTTCTTTCAAAACTGGATTGAGGCGCGTAGAGGATCTCAGTGCAATTTGTGGGGTTTCTTTACCTTTGCCTTTGCGACCTCTGCTGGCCTTTGATGCGAGAGCAGGAACAGGTGTTGGATCGGGGTTTGCTGGTGGTTCAACATCGCCGTTTGGTTCCAAATTGACGCTATCATCATCCTCGTCGATTGCGACCCACCCCTTTGGCATCTTGCGTTTTTTTGGTTTGGGTACTGAGAGTGAGGTTGACGAGTGAGGAGAGATGAGCGTGGTATCAATGCTGGTTTTGTTGGTCTTGGTGTTGGTGTTTTTACGTTTGCGACCACAACCTCGCTTGATAGGTGCCGGAGCTTGTTGAAGTACAGGACCCAAATCTAGAGCAGGATCTGGATTAGGTATTGGATTGTCTGAAGTGGCTCTCGGATTGGTGTGAGTTTCCTTTGGGAGCTCTGGCTGATTGTTTTTGGCATTTGAATCATATGGGTCGAAGGCAGGCAGGTCTTCCGAGGTAGGTTCTACATTGACCAAAAGTGAGCAATCAAGAAATCACAATAATCTTAGAGGAAAGGAACATACCTTGTTCTTTCGAAGTAACTCCGAGATTATGATATACACCTTGATCGTCATCAGCCATGATTTTCTCGATATTGGTTTGATTGATGGCTTCTAGTAAAGCTTGATCGGCGTCGGCATTTGCTTGCTCATTGTTCGATGGAGTTGGGTCTTTAGCAGTCGTAGTCGTAGGCGCTTCAGAGATATTAGTAGTCGCTTCATCGATGTGGGAAGGAGGATCATGAGATTGAGCAGGTGTGGGACTAGCCACCTTCACCGGATGGAATGTTGACGGTGAAAGTGGGGTTACAAACTTGTCCAAAGGACTCAGATGAGTGATCGGGCTTTTAAGTGGTCTAGTGGTTGAATTTTTCATTTGAAGTTGTGTTGAAACTGGAATATCCAGAGTTTTCGAGGAGGTAGCGAGTGAGTGTGAAAGAGGGTTGATCAAAGCAGGTGTTTCGAGGTCCTTGGCAAACTCGCAGTCACGTAGAAAACGGGTGATGAGACATGTTTGGGTATGGGTTGAGAGCCTTTGCATGGCATCGAGTAACTCTTGATATCGATTTGAAAGGTACCCAGGTTGGTGAGGTGGAGCAGAGATGTGAACGATTGGTTCGGGTGCTTGAGGTTGAGTTGGAATGATCACTGGAATCAATTCAATCGTATTTTGTGTTGCATGGTTATGCGTCGCATTCTCTATGTCGAGGTAGACCCGCCTTGAACGCCGTAGGTTGCGGACTGTCACACGAAAAGGACAAGTCTTGAGGTTTGTTGATGGTGATTTGCCCTCTTTGGCTTCGTTCTTCGCTTTCGTGGGGTGTCGATGATCACCTAGGAAGCATTTGTAGTAGATTGATGTTGTTCGGGTGTCGCGTGTGGTAATGGTAAATCCATGAGCGGCTGCGTAGGAGTCGAGGTATGCTTTCATCGTTACTCGATCAGGATAAATCAGGTCATCTCGAGGGGGAGGAGGAGAAGGGAATTGGGAAGTTGATTCAATTTGTCCAGTCTCTGGATTCGGAGGGTCGTCCATGGTTGGAATGATATGTGTGTGAAGAAAAGTATATGGTTGATTTGTGAAGGGTGAACAGTGAAAGCCGATTGATCGGGTTTGACTGTCAGTTATGGGTTTATGGGGTTATGTATTGGTGTTTGGATATTCTTAGGGGTATTATTACGTATTTAGTGCATAGAAATATGAAAGATGTGTGAAAGACATCTGTTTATGAGGGGGTAAATCGGTGTATGGAGTGAAGATGGACTTCCCACCAAAAAACAAAGTAGGGGAGTGAAACTTGATGGAAAGTGTGTGAAAATGCATACTTGATGCTCCGGATGATGTGTGTAGGTGCACGCTAAGTGCATCCTGACCAGCTCACATGATGCCCCAGATGTTGTGTGTAGGTGCACTGGTGTTGGAGCATGACCAATACTTGATGCTCCGGATAATGTGTGTAGATGCACGGGTGTGAGAGCATGACCACGGGTCGGACCAAGTGCATCCTGACAAGCGCACTTGATGCTCCACATGTTGTGTGTAGGTGCACCGGTGTTGGAGCATGTGCTCCGGATAATGTGTGTAGATGCACGGGTGTGAGAGCATGACCAGGAGCAGTACATGCTCTTTTATTGATCCATAAACAAATCATCTTCTTTTAACGTAGTCTTTCTTTTAATATTTAATTATACTCAGGAAACCTCACCTCCTTTTCATCAGAATTATTGTTCAGGCAAAAGTACTGGATGTACCCAAGTAACTTACCTAAATGGGTTTCTCTAGCTGGAGTGGCTTGGTTTGATTCATCTCGATAAGTGTAATGAATCACTGTATGTAATTCAGACTGCTAGTCAGTGATCGCAAAGGGACTGGAGCTACTGCTTTTGAACATGGAAAGCATCAAGGGAGGTGGTGGGAGGTGAAAAAAGTCGCAAGGTATTTCAAGGACTTACCTAAAAGGTAAAAAGACGTGGCACGTCAAACTTGTAAGCTTGGTGACCATCATCAACTCAATTGATTGTAGGTACTTTCCAACAACTTTCCTACGGCTAATCAAAGCCCAACCGACCAAAAGAGGCAATTATAAAAAAATAATGTGCAAATGATACACATAACTAGCTGGGGATTGCTATTCATCTTGCGCTAGGTACCCCTCATCGTTGTCTGCTTCAATTTTTGACTTTTACTCACCAATCCACATGGCCCCTCGTAATCGAACCAACCTTTCGCGTCCAACAAATCGACTGAAGAAACCTAGGAACGAAGCGAGTCAATCTGCTCAAGAGTTGTCTGAATGGGATGATAATGAAGAAAAGTGGTGTGCAAAAGAATGTGACCTGCTCAGCCGTGCACTCACCCAGCCGGAACCAGCTACAAACAACCCCTGGCCCAATGAGATTGAGGGTGATCAATTTATTGGCGGTAACGACGGGTATTATGACTTTGATGACGATGCTCACACACCGCCTCATGAGTCATCAGATTCAGGAGCAGAATCTGATGATTCTGTGCACTCACTTGCTTCCGATACTGACGTTGGTGTCGTGGGTGCTCGGATAGCGGGGGAATACAACCGTCGGCGTCGAATACGAGAGGAAAGGCAATGGGAGGAGGTCCTTGAACCAATGTTCAAAGTCTTCATGCTATGCAAACTCCTCACATTCAATTGGAGTCAATCTGAGACTTGGAATTTTGACAATAAAGATCAATGTCGATGCTCGGTGGCAAAGATACGAATCCGGAACCTGGATTTTGTTGATATATTGAGTGAGAGTCTACAGGATTTTAATCATCTGATTCTAAGGAATAAATTAACACTCTCTACTTACTTCGACAGCACATACAACACAAGCCGTAAAATTCTGCTCCTGTCAGCCAGACCAAGTCCGGCTGATTCAACTGGGCTACATCGGCGGTTCGCCAGCTCTGCCAGAAATTGCATTCTCTTTACGGCTGTTACGGCTACATGATGCTCTCTGGAGGTTTTGTTGTCTCCGTACACATCCTTTTGCTCAAGCACTAGAGTATTTTCACCGGGCAGCTCTTCGATTTGTAGATGATGTGACTAAGAAGGTATGTAGAGAGTAGACTTGATGTTTGAATCTCTAGTAAAAACTGATAGTCAAAATTGTCAGCCCCAGAGATGGGGCAGACTTTTTTCCTGTGCGGTAGACGCATATAGACGATTACTCCAGATGAAAGAAGATCTTGAGTGCCGGGCAATGCAACTGTCGAAGAAGGAAAAGTTAGGAGGCAATTGCCCACGCTGTTTTGGCGAGAATGTATATCCTAAAAGAGAAGGGGAACCTCACTATGTAGTATGCATCGACGGTAATTTCCAACAAAGACGACATAAATCGGCAAGTGTTGAGCACAGCGAAATTGAAATCCGCTACCCAAAATTATTTCTCCATCCCAACCAGGTCAAACAGTGGGAAAATACACATCCTGGCGCTTCAGATGATGCACCGGTAAGTCAACCTTCTGTAGATATATATTCATTGAAGGTGATAGCCACTAAAATCACATATCATTTAGGATCCTTGCACGCAGATGCACACTGCTGCTAATGATTCGAGGAGTGCATCAACATGGCGTGCCTGTGATGACACAGGCCTTTTGGTCATGGTTTGTCGTCACGACCATGCATTAGCCTTTGTAAACATTGTACAAAGTGGTGAGAAGTATGCTCGCACATCTCTCTTTTTCATGATTATATCAAGAAAGTCTAATTTTTATGTCTCTCTAGATCATATTTTGCGCATTCCCTGATTGGTTGGTTCCTCCAGCAGTTGGATGAGGAGGACTCTAAGGTTGCCTTACTCTACGATATTGGATGTAACATCGAGAAAGGCCTTATTAGAGTTAAGTATATTGATTGCCATTAAATATCAATTCGGCCTTTTTTTACTGATGGTAAATTTTGAACACATTGTAGCACAACCTTTTCAAAGTGGAAAGAAGTAAAGCACGCTTCAAATTTGGTACAAGCGTGTTCCACGCATATGTACACAGCTGGAGTTGCCAGCTGGATTACAACCCCAGATTAAATATTGGATGGGGGTTGTCCGATGGAGAGGGTTGTGAACGGTGTTGGTGTAAGCTCTGTAAATTGGTTGCAGGTCTACGTTATTCTACAAAGCAGCATCGAATAGATGCACTGGATCACAAAGCTGCACACAAAAACCAAGTCTTGCGTATAAACTCTGGTGGGAAATCAGTCCTTGTCTATCCTATCTTGATTCACAATTCCAACATCCGCTGTTTTGTTTCCAGCTGCTTCCGCCTATAACAAATTAGGAATAGCGGAGAAAACCCGAGGGGAAAAGCTACAGATTCTTGTTGAGCTCGAGACAAAACGTGGATATTCCCACAACTATTTTGCTGATCAATGGGCTCGTCAAAAAAGAATACAGGCAGAAGTCATGAATGATACCAACACAAATCAGCTGAAGCTACAACTTGAGGACTTGATTGAGCATGAAGAGGATCTGAGAGAGATCAAGTACGTACCTTTTTGCTATCTCGTTATTATGAGTGGCTGCTAATTGGTATAAGCTTCAGGGAGAAAATGGACAACCTACGCCGCAAGCAACGCAGAACAGCAGCTGAAAATCGTACACTGGCAAGCTTGCCAGGACATATTGCATTTTTGGAAGAAGAAGTTGAGAGAATTTCATTAGAACTTGGTGGCGACAAGTTCAGACACATACCCAAGTCCAAAGGTAAGACAATGTTTTAGTATGTTATGTTGATCATTTATATGTTGACTTTCCTTAAATGTACGTAATAGATCCACGGGGGTGTTTATTGATACAGATAAGGGTGGCAAAGGCAAAAGTATATGAGGCAAAGGTCGGAATTATTGAATTAGCAAAAAAATGGGAGGCAGGTAAGTTTGTCGGGGGTACAAAACTGATGAGAATGAAAGCTGAAGTCTTTTCTCACCGTTTTATGTAGGCACAACACAGCAGCAACGTATGAAGGCTGTGATGACTACAAAACAGACAATCTTTCGAACGAAGTGGAAGACCTTTCATGATCTTGTTGTAAAGTACAACCTTTTGTATCCAGACGAAACCCCGCTGATCAACTTTACGCTGGAGGAAGCAAAATCGTTGACTCTGGATGACGCCTTCTGGAACTTTGGGCATCTCACGCATCCAGATGAAAATTGGGCGGTGGATGCAGACACCCAGAAGGGCATTCAAGCTTATTTGTTGTATTGCCGGTGCGAAGAGGAACTGAGGCGGATTGCACATGAGGTACGACAGATGTTTAGATGGTCTCTGGAAACGGACACCAAAATACAAAAGGTGTTCATGCTTGCACAGTCAGGTTAGCCTTTCTTTGGATGATACTTGATTGTTCTTTCTGTTACACTGAATTTGACTATACTTCTTTATTTTTTGTATACTCAGGATGGGACCCAACCGCCATGGTTCTTCCAATAGAATTAGTGCAGGGCAGCAAGGCATCTCGGATTGTTAACAAGACAAATTGGGAGGAGTGCAGCGATACCTTGGAGTCTTTATATCATGGGCTCTTTCTTGATCATGCCCGTCTGATCTTTAGATGGGACACCTACCTAGTGTCCCTTCTGCACAACACTCGGCAATATTCTGAAGCCAGTATTGCCGAAGACCAAGTTTTGGAGGCTCAGTGGAAGAACATGCTACATACCACTCTTAATGGATGATTATTTAAGATTTCTGTTTCAACATTAACAATTACATTTGTTGGAAAACAATGAGAATGGTGGAATAGTATTGCCTGACTGACAACGGTGTGTGATATATAGGAAAAGTGAGAGAAGTCAGATTTCTGCTTTTTATGTTTAATGGTTGAGGACGCAGAAAGAGTGTTGAAGGGAGGGGCAGATGAACCCAGATGAGACTGCCCCTCAAAGTCTTACCATATGTATTAGCCCTGAGCGAGTAAAAGCTGTGTGAGAGAAGAGGGGTCAGATGAGGCCAGATGAGAGTTCCCCCGAGTTGTTGCACGTGGATATCGCTATGTATCTGAAGTCTCCATGTAGAATGGTGTTCGGAATGTATGGGGTAAGTCAGATTATGAATCAGTTGGACTTGTATGTACGACTACGTACAGTGCTCGGTAAACAAAAACAGACTCATCTGGGACTTGTATGTACGGTGCTCGGTAAACAAATGCAGACTCATCTGCTGAAGCTGCGGTGTCAACTGGTTGATGAATGTGTGGCCAGATGAATCTGAGAAGTTGGTTTGAAAAAATACACAGGCCAGAGTCCAGTCGGCTGCCAGACTCAGTCAGATGAATCTAGGCTTAGCCAGATTTGGTCAGATGAGCCAGATTGTGAGCTTGAGCGCGTTTATCCCTCTTAGAGGTGTCTGATGACAGTGAGATGGGCTAAAATTTTCTGAATACATCCCAATGGGTGTTCAGAACATAGAAAAAGTCATATGATATCATAACTTGATGAGGTAAATTTGTGGAAACTTGGAAGCTATTTTCGAAAAATTTTCTCAGACTACTCTGGCAGCTCTGGCCTCATCTGCGACCCGATTTTGGGATACTATCCCATGATAATGCACGCATTATCTTCGGTTCGGGGCCGAGTAATCTAGGGGCCACAGGTGCCCAATACTGCCCTGGTGTAGTTTTTAACAGGTGTTGCCAAGCCAATGTTGACAGACTCGTGAGGCGCTTATTTTTTGGTGGTGTTGGTTGTGGTTTAAGCAGAGCTACCAGGGGATGCAGTTGCAGATTTCTCAAACTTGACCTCTTCTAACTGAGATAAGAGTTTTTCTAAGACCAAGTCTCAAGATTGAAGGTTTGCTTCAAACTGCTGACTTTGAGCTGCAAGCTCCTGAGATATGGCAGACTGGATATCAGATAGGGGAGCAGCGGTGATAGAAAATTGCTGGGATTGATTGGGATTATTGAGGGGAGCTAAAGACATAATGTAAGATGATTTGGTTTGAAATAATCATTATCAGATAGCATTGTAAAGCTTTTAGAAGCAGAATGAAGCAGGTCAACAATGATTGGTTGATCTGTGTAAGGAAGGAGATCACACAGTTGTAGCATATCTGTATTATCTGTATAGGGAGGGTTTATATGTTGTCTTTTCCTCTCCCCTCCTTCCTTCCTTTCCCTTTGAGGTTTCTTCTCCCCTTCTTTCCATTATCCAGTTCTTTTCTGATCTGTCTTTGTGGTCTAGGTATGGTTCCCTTGGAGGTTTCTTCTCCCCTTCTTTCCATTATCTAGTTCTTTTCTGATCTGTCTTTGTGGTCTAGACTACTATTCTAGTGAAATACACCTCGGTTATAGATCAGTCGAGGCTTCGGCTTGCAAGTCACTTCCCAGTGAAGGTCGAGTGATCCTTGACTTCACAATCTGTGGGTATTGAAGAAGGTTGGTGGATAAAATCATGTAACTCACCATCAAGTAGACCCTTTTTCTACCTTGATCAGTGGGTTTGAGATATTCTCAAATGGCTTTGAGGATAGATGTTGGTGTGATTTGATTCAGTGGGTAGACAGCCGTAACCATCAGTCTTCTACAAAAGTAGACTAGATTGGTTATTATTATTGAAATGATGGTGTCATTGTTTGAGGAAATAGGCCGGATTGGTGGTTCTTGCTGAGGTGTTGGTTAATACATAAAATATGAGTGGCAGATGTCAACCAGCTGGATTACTTCACCAGCGTGTTGGCTTCTGTCAGGCCTGGGTCTGAATTTTGGCTGGCGTCAGACCTGGGCCAATGTCAGCCCTGAGCCCTGTGTACAGGACCACAGACTAACAAACACACATGTAAACACATGTAATACATATGTAAATAATATGTAAATATATGAAACTTGTTTAAAACCATAAGAATTCCAACTCATGGCTCAGTTTCAAGAGTTACTCAAGTAACAAGACTTGCTATGACTTAACCTCATAGTAAACCTAACCCAAACCTAACTCAAAAGAAAAGCAAACCTAAGCGCCAACCACAAGTTGAGGCCTAGGTCTGGAATATATAAACTCCTCTTCTTCCCACTCTGGAAGAAGAACAACTTATTATCATACCACCACTCCTCCTCACATCTTACTTGATTCTTTACCAAAAATATTGGGTATAGTGATTTAGTTGTATCTTGATTATCGTAGTTCTACTCTTTATTCAGGTTATTGTAAAACCTCAAGTGGTGTTCTGAGCTGGTGAGTGAATAGCTAACAGGACAATCTTGGAATTTACAAAGGGTTCCTCTTTAAAAGAGTCTAAAGTACCCCGCGGCACTTCTGAATCCTCAGAGTCTAAAGTACTGCAGGCTCCAGAGTTGTAAGATCAACCAGAGCTCTGAGTAAGATCCTTAGAGGGATTACTCAGCCATCCCACTGGCATCAAATTCTCTTCTTAGAGGTCAACTAACTGCAGTCTTCACTTGGGTGTACCAGTGAAGACTTCCACCTAGTCCTTAAGCAATTATTTTTAGTGAAGAGTCAGCCAGAAAGTAGCTGACCCCTCACAGCCAACCCGTGGCTCACTCCACTGGCACAAGCCAGGCTCACATCAGCCGTTTTTCTGCAGTGTAGGTTAGAGACTATCAAAGTGTTGGGGTTTTGTCAGCAACTATAGTTAAAAAGCACCCATGTAAAAGCTAGGTTCAAATACCCTCATGTTGAACCACATTACCAAAATCACCTTTTCTATTCCCTTCTTGATATTGCATCTGATGTGATAAAGGACACCAAGCTTACCATCTGGCTTGCCTGGGCACCCTTCAGTTTCTCTGAGTATCCAGTTCATAAGTGTGTGCACTTTTAACCACTCTGCATTATGCTGATGAACATGAGGCATTGATCATGCCTGCAAGCCAGCATCACCTCAAGAGCTCTTTCATCATTGCCTCTCCAGTGGCTTTTTCCATGTAAACCATCAGCAGAGGTATGCCTGGCTGAGCAGGGGTCCTCATTAGGTCGTTTATAATGATGAGTTTAATACAAAACATAATTGAAAGAACTTACTACTTCCGCATTTGCCAAGTGTTTCTTCTTGCCGGTTGTGAAAGTCCTGGAATACAATCTAAGCTGGGAAGAACAAATAACTTCAGAGTCTTCTAAGTGTTTTGAAGCCAATACCAAGTATAAGAAGATAAGATAGATAAGACAGAGTCACAAAGATCAAGAATAAAGAATGAGGAAAATAGATTACTCATTTCCAATGATGAGGAAAAGAAGACTGATGAATGATAACTTGGTGTTGTATATATATGTACAAAGAGTGGGGTAACTCTACTACAAGCATGTTCTGGGAGTAAACACATTTATGCCTGTGACAATTGAGTCTCAACACCACTGATCTGCTGTGGTGTGGGTGCCCCAGCACACATTGCCTCTAACTCCTCAGGAGGCAAGAAAATGTAAGCAGTAATGATCCCTCCCAACTCAATGTGATGAGTGCGATGAATGTGTATGCTTATACTTGTACTTGGTTGCATACTTGTGCATTGGGAGAAGCACTGTCAGGAGCTTTCCCCTCATATTTCAATTTCATCATAGTGATACTACTTGCTTGTACCGTGCTCACGTCCCAAAAAACATATTGCAATGTCTACCTCAAAGATACAATCAAAAAGGAGAAACTCAAAAGAACAAATTAAAGACCTCAAAATTTGAAAGGAATTCAAGAGTCCTAAAGAAGAAACACGAAAATTAAAGTTTCAAAAAACAGGGTCACCACATCAAAGTTCAGAAGAGATTATTAAGCATTTGCTGCAGGAAGTTCAGATACTGACAACTAGTTAAAAGATCACACATATTAAAGTTAAATGGAATCACACCACATCTCAACTTTATCACTTGCTTTGAGAATGAAGACACCCAAATTCTTAGTATCCATACAAGAGTGACTCCGGAGATTTGTCATGTCATGAAGTATCAAATCAAATGATGTCAAATACCCTTGTCGGCATATGTCAGATGTATGAACTCACAGGCGCCTAGAGGAAGAAGTCTTACAAAGGCAAGATGTAGAGCATGAACTTCACAAAATGCAACAAGCCCGGCCAATTGAGCAAACTGCACCCCAAGTCAATGTGAATCTGTCTCACAAATCTCAAATCTAAGCCCAAGTAGTACTTAGAGCACCAAAAGTAGCTACCCCAGATCAATGCAATGGATTCAAAGGCCCAAAAGCCAAAATATTCATGATTCACATGTCTCTATACATGCAATTGAAATCAGCTTCCTTTGCAAATGACCAGGCTAAAGCAGTGGGTGTTAAACTGCGCCACCGGAATGGCAAACATTTGAGGTCAAACAATGGCCAACCAACTTCTTGATGGTGGAAGAGCTCAAACAGTAACCTGGACCATATTCATTGATTCCTTTGAATTGACCATCTTCAATGGTGAGAGGGTGGTCAAAGCAGAGAATAAACTTGGGGTGTTAAAGCATTCAATAGTGAGAGGGTGGTCAAAGCAGAGAAGAAACTTCAGGTGTTAAAGCAACCTCAATCTATATCTGATTATTGGATTTGGTTTGTGGAATTATCTCTCATGGTGAAATGGCCAGAGCATGTACTTAGATCTCAGTTTGAACAAGTACTGAAAAATGAAAAGGTGGTGCAGATGGTTAGAGACAGATTTGAGTACAGCTGTTCACAAAATTCGTGTCATGGTGGCACATTTTTTTTGTTTTTTCCCCCCAAATACAGCTGTGATGTGCAG